GGAAACAATTGATGGTCGACAGATGCAGTGGTCCCCGAATCTGGTTGTCAGACCGAACGAAATCCAGACCCAGTTGAAGCTGCCGAGAAGATGAAATACGGTTCCCCGCTCTCGCGTTGTCTGTCGACTGGCGCGGTTGGCTCGTGGATGCTTTCTTGTAGCACCGAATATGTTGTGAAGCTGGAGCATGAGGTGTATTAAAGGGGAGCGCCGAGGACGTCGCTCAAAAGAAGAGAGGGGCAGTGTAATGCTTTGTTTATGCGACTATCTGACGTTTGGCGAGCACTTTAGGACTTGTCTGGGCCCTGTGCACGTGGGCTGGCCTTCGGGTTACGCTCAGGCCCATTTCTCCTATTGCTTTCGGAATACATGTATTCAACCATACTTATGCCTTCTACTACCCCATTGGAAGCCTCGGGACGCTACAGTAGCGTCCCGAGACTTCCCAGCCGATAGAGGTCAGTAGGTGAAGCTAGATACATGTATTTTGAAGACGACAGGACAAATGTGCGTGAGCATGACCCGAAGCCCAGCCGACATGTACAAGAACCAGACCAATCTTAAAGTGGCCGGCAAACGTCATGTGGTCACATAAACAAAGTATTTCTAATAAAACCTCTAAATGGAGCTGTTGGCATATTCAACAAGAACATTTATTGGACGGGTATGAAAATCAAACGACTTAAGTAGTTCGGACGCACTAACAAACCAAAAGATGGAGAAAGCATGCTACTACCTTTGTGGTTTAGCACCTGTGGTACTGACATTCACTTTGGCGATCACCTCGCTTCTGCCGCATTAACTGGCCTTCAGGCAGTGCCAAAGCTTAACATACGCTTCTTTCCAGAACACGGGTATTTAACCCTGTCTAATGCCTACCACGACCAATTTGGAGGTCACAAAAATATTAAAGCCGAAATAAAAATTATTGTTTTAACTACCTTTTTCGTTAGTACTCATTAAGTGCATCGTGATGAATACATCAATTTAGTTGGGCTTTAGCGATTGCGCCAATGATTGCAATTTCTCGTAAGCAATATAGGTTTGTGTTTTGTTCACAATACTTATCCATATCTTTGATTACTTTGAATTAATTTCAATCACACTACGCGTATTTATTCTCTCAATGGTGATTAAACTCATCCTATGAAAAGTGTTAGCAACATGATTTATCTACACAATCTTTGTTTGAATGGGCTCTTCGTGCTATATACACAAGCGGTGAATTCAGTACACGCTAGACGTTTTGATTGGACTGTCATGTCTAAGCAGATTAGACCCTTATTGAGTTTATCAGCAATCGAAGTTCCCCCTATGTTTCTTCAGGTATCAAAATAATTGTCGAAGACTTGTTCTAGACATTGGAGGAGTCGGCGAGGACAGTTAAGAAGATTAAGGAAACGGAGTCGGATATTGTCAGTTCAGCGGTAAATCGTTTCACACGCTTTTTATAAACAATAGGCTAACCGCTCAGGTACAGAGGAAGATAGGCGAATGCTGCAGGCTGGATTAATTTACCTTGCGCTTACCGAGCCAGATCTTCGCCGTTCTTACTTACAGGATATTGTTCTAATCTCAAGAGATAATCTCCATTATGCTCTTTCTGAGCTAACTAGGTTAGTGGCGGAAACATGGCCTAAAATGCATCAAGACGTCCGGAAAAATATGCTTAGCATTACTGCTGAACTGCTTGCTACTCGCGGCGCAAATGTTGACGTTTTGATGTTGCATTTGTATCGGCGAATGCAAGGTATGAGAACCTTTAGTCATTATGTGTTTAGAATTTTTGGTACACATGCCTGTTTTGTTTTAGGTGGCGATTTGAGTCCTCAGAACTTATGGTTGATCCAATCACTTCTTGATATCGTTGTCAGAAATAAGTATGCAAATAGTTGTTGGATGATTCCTTGAGAGGACGAAATCTTTACTCAACGCTATTTCTTGTTTAGGGAATATTTGGAACAAAACGATCGAAATCCTTTTCTTTTATCTTTGACAGTCTACTCTTTTCTGCGCATTATACCAGACCATCATAGCGACACGAACTCATTTCTAAAGACGCCAGAAGGCACTGCTTTGATTTCAAAGCTTTCTGTTTTATACCAACGGGAATCTACTGTAGTAGTTGAACTGATGCGAAAAAATGTACGCGCTTTCCGATGGGGCATTCCTTAATTCTTCTAAACTCTAGTTTGATAAGTGCGTTTCTGCTGGACGAGATCTAATCCGGTTGCTCTCCTATGTTTCTCGTATTGAACCTTTCCAAAAGTTGTGGAGTGATATGTTCGCAGACATTTCTTCTCTCTCTTCACTCCACAAGCGTATGTTCTTTTTTCTTTGGACTATTTGTCAAACTAGTCGTGGTCTTGCATTTCTTTCCCTTTCCTCACAGATGTGAATTCTATCTTGGATATTCTTACACCTGTACAACATACAAGTTCTCTCATTAGCCAAGAAATGGAAGTTTGCATTCGATGGATGCTTCGGAATGTGCATTTCGCTGCTAATGTTCCAGTTAGACGCTATCAGGATTTATTTAACGTGGGTTAAAACTTCTTTTATTGTTCGCCATTCAAATGTATTTATGCGATATAAGTATTATGGTAGAAATGCCTTCACTAAGATCTGCTTTATCGTCTTTCCGCGGTTTTACTGCTGATCGCCGGAAGTATTTACTTTTGATTTCTTTGTTTTTTCTCCTAATAGATGAGGTATTTTTCAGCTCCAGAAAGTCAAAATCTACGAGTGGCCCTGACAAGGTTTATTGTAAACAATTTCTACCCCGACAACGATATGCTCGCCTCAACTCTCATGCCACGTTGGAATGCCGTATCTTGGGTTATTTCAATGTGCACTGTAAGGCCCCTTCTTTGATCTATTTTACTCGGTTTGTTATGTTTTGGTAAGATACTAAATAGATTCTAGATAATCCTCCTTGGGCTTGAGAAACTACTAAGAAATCTTAAAGTCTGATATGAGGGCGCATTTCTGTAGAAAATTAGTTGAGTTGTTGAATACATGTAGTTTGAATTCGCTCGACGTCTACTAGCTCATAATGGTTGTTAAACTATTTGCAATTTTTGGAATGCTGCTTGGTTCTTCTAAGGTTCTGAATGTTGAATCGGCGCCACTTTTTGATCTCTTCTACCCCCTTTTTCCCATATATGTGCTGGGAATTGTTGTGTGAAGCGAATCTAGGGCGATAGAGGACAAACATTTCTTGAAATCTGAAACAGCCGAAATTCAGAAAGCTTGCGTCCTTTGTTCCATCTCTTTTTTACCGAAAAGCTTGTCGCGAAGCTATCTTTATCTCAATACACTGGGTTCTTACCTGGAACCAATGTTCCGTTTTGACCTTGGGGTAAATATTTGTCCGCCATTTTGCAGACTTAATCTGATTTTGCCCCGACTTAGTGATTTTCTGTCCAATTTCCGCCCATCGATGTTTGGAGTCCAGGCGCTACTTTTCCATTTAGTTTTTGAAAGTGGTTGACGCTTCCCTTCCTAATTCAAAGCACAATGGTAAGTCGTGAAAGGGTCTCTTGTAATGAACGAGTTCCACTAGGCGTCAGCACTCTTACCGTTGTAGCCTAATTCACTGTTTGCCCTTCAATTGCTAGGGCAACGGCAATGTTTCGACTTCAATTCTAGTATGTATTGCCCCACTGCGACGCCTGAAAGGCTCTCCAGAGTCAATTCTTTGACTCTCCCATTTTCATTAGTATTTTTCTTTGAATTATTATGGGTTTAGTCGTTCTTATTCCCAATCTTAGACCATGTTTGGTGCAAGCTTTGGCAGTGCACCTTTTCATGTGCACACACGATTTAACGTTTGTAGAGTTAACTTTGTTAGATTGTCACCAATTTTGGGGGTTATGAGAAACAGTGCTACCTTTCTCAAAAGTTGTCAGGCTCTAAAGTAAAAATAAAAGCAGGTTATGTCTAAAAGATGACCCACTGTTGTCCGCTTTCAGCAACCATGTATCAGCATGTCGTTTTTTTGTAAACAGTTCGTGTGGTGTCAACCACTCTTAACCAATCTTGATAAAGCAAATTACTAACGAAGTTATTTATTAAACTTGGAAAGCAAAGGCTGTAATGTCATTTCCAACCCTTGGGTTTGAGTAACCTTATAGTGTTTAGTTCAAAGTTGAAACATTTTAGTTGGCGTTGTAGAGGTCGTGGTACTCTGGCACCTTTTTTACCGTTGGGGCTACTCATTTTCGTAACTGATGCTGTTACTCTAACATGAAGAGTGTTTCTGTTTGGATTTATCTCTCACACTTTCACTTTTAGTGTCCAATTGCACATCAGAACTGCAAGATGGCTCTCTTCTTTGATTGGTTCTGCTTTCGACATAATGAATGTATTATGAATATCGGTAAGTCTTCTGTAAAACCCAACACAAGGAATGCATTATAGCAATTTTGACTCAGGTTGCTGATCGTTAAATGGTCTGAGTAGCCTGCGACATCTTCACTCTCGGAAATTTGTAGTATTTTCTCTTAATAGTTCACCACGGGGGACTATGAAGTTTCATCACGTCACTTTTTTTACTGTAGAGCCGGCGGTGCTCATCATTACTAATAATCTTGGCTCTACTCGCTTCCAGCCGTTTGCCCTCTCTATGTTGGAGTTTCTAGTAAAGGCGAGTCCTGTGTTTCTAAATCGAACGTGTCTTTTAACAACCCATTCCGTGTTTCTTTGTCTGGAGGTCAGCTTTTAAGCGCTTATTGAAATATGAGATTCGTACATATACCCTTGCTACTATGGCAGTACAATCTGAAATGGTTGTTTTGTTACCTACACCTATCTAGGGCTCTGTGCCTCACAGTGCGTCACTTATTACTGTTGCAATGGTTCATCGGTGAATCTTTGACAGCCTCTATATTAATGCGCTTTTATTTAAGACCGCAACCAACTTTCATCCACTCCTGGCGGAGAGATTCGCTTTTTCGATTCGGGCAGGTATTGACGACAGCCTACGTCTAGGTGTTATTCGGTGAGTCGATGGCTGCTTAATATTCTACTATGACTCGAATATTTTCTGTTCTCTCCATTGTATATTTATGTCAACTTCGACAGATCGATAAATCCAATTTTGGACACGCTGCTTCGGATTGCTCCTGAGATCTACCGCAACTTCGCCAATCTTCTTGGTCCTCTGGTAGATTCTACCCTACCCCTTTCTTCAGCCTCTGGGGCCAGTGGTGTTGGCAGCTCCACCGCCGCACCAGAAGGCAACTCTCTCGAGTTTGGAGGAGGAGGAGGAGGAGGCAGTGGTAGTGGTGGTGGAGGAAGCTTTGACGGTAATAAATTCCACCGACCTCGCTCCACAGTTGGCTCCTCTAAGTCCCACTCTTCTGATCTTTTAAACAGACCCAGAGGTTAGCGAATTCATTAATTGTAATGGCTTTGTTGGATCCAGTACGGCAACTGAGAAACATACTTCATGTTCACCATGCTTTGTGCCATGCGGCGCCAATAATCAAATTCATGGCATGCTTCTAAAATATGTTTTCCCATCTTTTTCATCGTTTTAGATGCAAGTCACACTCCGGCTGCAAACACATCCGCTACTGGTCCACCGACAGATCCGCGACTTCGTCGAGGAAGTCTTCCGAGTGTCGCATCTCCAAAAAACGGGGCTTTACCCCTTCCATTCAAACCTCAACCGCGTCCGCCGTCACCAGAGGCTTTGGGCCGATCATCACCTCCACCCCTTCTTCTAATCGATCTTTCTCCCTCAGAGTTCTCATCTCCAGATGAGATCAAGAAGGGCAATGAAAACCAGCAGCAGTTGGAAGGGAAATCTCGCTCTCAATCATCTCTACTCCCTATGACAGTATATCCTCCCCTCCCAGCTGCGCAAGATCTGGGAGCGTTGCCTAGTAATTTCGAGACCCTGGCTTCCCCAGAATGCAGAATCGGTGTCAACTCTAGTGTAGACACTATTCAGCAAAGGATCGGTTTGTCTTCGTGAAAATTGGTGATGAATTTTTTCGAATACATTTGTTTGGGATGAGTCACCCTTTTATTTTCTTTTGTAGACGATCTGCGTCGGCGGTTTCAGTCTTACCAACTTCGTTACACGTACAAGATAAAAACTAATGTTAATGTGTTTGCGATCCTTAGCCAATTTGTCGGCGACCTTCATGAATACTTGGAGAAGCTGATTTTTAAAGCGCAGGCCGCGGGACTCTTGAGGGAGATGAGTGGGTCGAACGGAGAGAGTAGAAGCTCAACGCCGGCATCCTTGCCTGACGATGCAGGTATTTTCAATTTCCAAGCCTACTGAGTTGGTTATCTCCGTTTTTGTCTCAGGCCTTGAAGATGTGTGTGAGGCGATGCAGAACCTCATCGACTCCGTTCTAGAAGACGACTTTTCTGATGATTTGGCAATGGTCGGCCGAATCGCAGATGTTATTGGTCAGATCTGCCTACCTCTCTTTGATACTATTGCAGAGTGTGGTAATGCAACAAACCTCGAAAATAGCAGGCTTGGTAGTGTTCTTCTACCCTCGCACCTGCCTATTACTCAAGAGTACGTTCTTGATGTTTCGTATGACTTTCACTTGATCTGAGTGCTTCAGTAATAGTTGTTTATTTTGACATCTGATTTGTCAGTTAATGCAAACTTCGGAGCTGTTGGAAAAGAAAAGTAGTTTTCAGCTAGCCAACGTTGACAAAATGCTTTTTAAGTTGTCGCTTAGTGCTGATTCTTTATTCGTTCTTTTATTCATCCCATACTGCCATCGAAAAGTAGGAAACTCAATCCATGAGTGTGGGTTTTGTACTTCTTGTGCAGGCAAATTGATGGCAGTCTCGCCTCTCCAGTGTTCGTGCCACTTCGAAATCTCTGTGAAATGAGTCGAGCCAATGCGAAACGCGAGATCCTTCTGCTTCTGCTCACAGAAATTCAAATTCGGCAACCTCGAATTGGATATCATTTGCTTTACTTCCTCACTGTCAGGTTTGCAAATTTTTAGAATTTACTTCTATGTCTGGTTTAGTTTTTGTGGTTACTAACTGGACAAAGTGATTGATTGTCGAGAGATTTTAGTTTCTTGAGTTACTTTCTACTTTATAAGCTAGTGCATTTTTTGTCTCTATTGCTTCAATGCAGCTGGCAAATTGAATCAAGCAGTAAACATGGACCTTCCATGACATCACTCATCCCCTTTTAGTGTTCAACTTATCTGCACTGTAACCGCTTTCTTTTCACTTATTGATTTCTCTATTTTTAGCACTGTAAACGACGACAGAATGGCAACTTACCGAAGTTTCTGTGCAAGTCAAGAAAATTCTAGCCTTCTTGTGTGTCTTTATCGCGATCTGCAGGTACATTTATTGTTAGAAACTCCATCACCTTGTTCACAGAGGCTTATTCCATGTCTTTGTCGTCTTGTGTTCCTCTAGTTGCTTGCAGATGATAATCGGTTCCTTTTCTGTTTCCTTCTACCAACAATCTACAGTGTGGTAAGCTCACGATTCTTTTTGAAAGCAATGTTTAAAAATTTTATGAAGATTGGACCCTTCTACATGTGCGCTGAAACAGCATTTTGGCATACGTAATCGTTGTCTCCTAGTTCGCGGCTGATCTCGCTAACAACTCGGACTTTCTTCGCCTTGTTGTTAGCAAAATTGACGCCAGCCAGGTGAATTATCTCATCAGCGAGATCCTGCGTGGACACCTCAACCTCTTCCATCGTTCGGATATTACAGATGTCCTCAGTAAGTTCAACTTTCCTCTGTCTTCCATAGGAAATGGCGATGTGGATGCATACACTGTTTTACGGTCATTTCAGAATCCAGTTTGGAGTGGAGTTCGACGGAGCAGTCATTCTTCTGGCAGCTTGTTGGTGCACACGAATTGCCTACCAGACATTTCCTTCCTCTCATCTCTCTTGTTGATGGCCAAAAGCACTCTGAGGCGTGCTCTCAACTTCTACTCCTCCTGCAGCTTGAAAAGTGTGTTTTATCCCTTTCCATCCACGTTTTTATTAAGTAACTCTATCCATTTGTTTATTCCAATAGTAGTCACATGTTCACTTTCGCACTGGCGTACTACTTGATACCTGATTTGGATGCCTTCTTCGTATTCTGTTTCTTAACTCCGACTGACTGTTTCCTTCGTCATTTAATTGAAAACTTTTCCCTTACGATTCGTGTTTATTTGGATTTTGCGTAACTTGACTCAACTGTCAATTAGTATCTTTATCACAAAGCGTTCCGTTGCATGAGTTATTGAACCTTACTAGCTAAATAGGTCTAGGCGAATGAATAGGAGTTTTCCCTTACCTGCTTGGTTATTTGGGAATGAGTTTTAATGCTGTGATGTTCGAGTGAAGAGTTTTTGGTACAGACTAGATTTCAGTCAACTTTTCTCCTTTGGATTTGAGACTTCTCCCACATAGGCGTACTCCTGAGTACTTTTTTATGTGGCTAATTAGTTATGGCTTTTGTAGAACTATTGTTCACATCTTGATGATTATACACATATTAGTGGGAACGTTAATTCTTACCCCTCTTTAGACTCATTAAGTGCATTCACGACTAGCCTCTGATGTCGAGGGGAAAAAATAACTGCGTATTGTGTTCTATCGACGACTAGATTTCGCGTGATTTGTTCTATTAAGCTTGATGTGGCATTTATGGCGATATCTACTACTTCGTTAGGTCCGGATTTTGGCTGTCATTTGCATCCTCTGGCGTGTCATGCGCTCAATTAAACAAGTAATCGGTATAATCGAAATTATTTGTATAACAGAAATGTTAACTTTTCCTTTCACACTGTGTTAAGTCTTGCAATCTCTCTTTTGATACATCAGCGCATGCTGTTTTGATCATTCGCTTTTATCGGGAATATTAATTAATTCATACTTTCAGTCTTTAAAGTGGGAAATATTTTCGCCTTCAAAAGAATGGACAGATCTTGTAACATTTTGTTCTATTTTGTCTGTGAATACTTAATTCGCGAAGCCTAAAAACGTGTATTTTACTGTCAGTAGCCGTGCCTCAGATTTCTTGGACCACCGGATTCTCAAATTAAGTACGTTAAAGTGGCCCAACTGTTTTCGTTCTTTCCTCTCTTGTCAGACCAACGAACGAGATGGTGCGACTCCTGCTGACCCGTGCAGCCTCTAGTCTTAATTCTGCCGTGGCTGCTTCCAACGCAGCTGATGACCTTCTCTCCGTTACTACTCTACATTATTGGGGTCGCCCGGGTGGTGCTCATGCTCAACGCTTTGCTGAGATACTTAGCACCATGGTAACAACTGCGGTGAACTCCTTGCGTTGTGGTTATGACGCTGAGGAGGGTGGCATTGCCGCAAGTAGAAAAAGGAATGGTCCAAAGTGGGTAGCTTTATTCGGTAGCGTTAATATCTCTCTTTGAAATTTTAATTTTGCGTACTGGCGTGACGGAATTTATGGTGTGCAGACTGACAGTAAATTAGCGATCAACCCATTATGGCTGAGAGGATCGTGGTCTCTGTCATCTGAGTGTCCCTTGAAGATACTGAAATTCATATGGATCAAAATAGGAATGTATCTCATGAAATAACATGAATGAGATGCTGCCACCATGGTACTGACAGGTAATCCAGAGACTGAAGAGTCCGCATAATTCAGTTAAAATTTGACGTATTGCATAGTCTTGTCTTGAGACATTTTCTTTGGTCACTTCTGTGGTCACTCCTTCACTTGCCATGGTGACTTAGCCGTTGATCCAAAAATTGCTTTCCAACCAAAGCCAGATTACCAGTCGTGTGCTACCAATCGAGCGTAGAAGGTACTTGATCTTAATTGCAGTGTTGTCTCTCGTTGATTTGATTGGACCCATTGTTGTGTCTTTGTGGGCCGTATGGCGGGGATTTACTAACTTCGCACTACTCGCGGTAGGCTGATACTTCACAACGAGTGAGTTCAACATGTAAATCATTGTTTGTAGCACAATTTGTCTAAAGTATAGCTCTGCATAAAGCGCAGATTTTCAGGGGTTCTGTTCCGTTTTTGTTATTTAAGATGAAGGGTTGATGTCGCTCCTTGCAATGTGTCGAAATTCTATCTGCATTAACGAAAGTACTCTCCTAAAAATCTTGTCCCAATGTAACTCTCTCCCTTAGTTTTATGTTGGTTTTTTGTTATTTTTAGAGCCGGAGGTAGCAATTCGGATCAGATGCCCCTCTTGATCTCCATTCTCACACACTTAGATTGCATGCGGCGAAATTGCAAGAACATCTCGAGTGAGTTGCGCCGCTGAACACCGCTTACGCCGATTCTTTTTTGCCCGTCGACTCGTGTCTATTGTTTTTGACGGGTTGCTAAAGTTTTTACTCTTTACTTATAGAAAAGAAGAACGAAACTTGTTGTGGTAGGTTATCGATAGGGTGCCGTTAAAATGTCGATTCATACTGTTGAACTAACACCCACTGTATTACTGCTTTTACTCGGAATGCATTGCCAAAAGTCTGTAATTCCTTTTATTTTTTTCCTTCCAGTTGCTCTCTTTTGTTCTTAATCTTCAAAAAAAGCTATGTTTACAACTAGTCCCACGAGATTTTGGTAACCTATTTTCGACTCCTAAGGTTTGATGCTTCAATGCAGAAGTTACTCTTCACTGTTCTCTGCTTTTTTTGCTACCGACTAATGAGATCGCGTTGTCTGTTCAACTGATAGTGGTTGAATTAAGTCCCTTGCCTGTATTGTTTTCTATCCTCTCATCTAGTGCTACAAGCAACAGAGCTTCAAATTTCTCTACAACAAGTCATTATCTCCACAGGAGTTCCGGCGCATATAAAGGATCGTTTCGCGGAACTTCTTAGCCTAGTTGAGAATGACACCATGGAGATTGCCTCGGCCACATCAACTGCAACTAGAGCTAGTGGTACTTCACGAAACAGTAAGCAGGAGGTTAAAGAAGTTCTTGGCACTGGGTCTTCCAAAGGGGGACACAGTCTCCGTAATCTCGATTCGAGACGCGCAGCTGAGGTAAGCCTTATCGGTGGAGCACATCGGTTTAGAAGCCTTTATAAATGTTCAAAACCAAAGCACAGATGTTTACTCAGAGTCAAAATCGCAAATGCTTGGCATAACTCAAGAAATGCCAAGCAAGCTGTCGTAGCCACCTATGCGATTTGAACAAATTTTGGCATTGGCCATCATCATTCCTCCGAAGTTTCTGTAGAATATTTGGATGAATTGAAATTGTCTTCCAGTCAGGAAGTGAAATCGACCTCCTAGTTTTTTCCCATCCCTATTGATCGTTATTTATACAGTTGAAATACTTTGTAAGGTGTCTCAACATGCCTATGAGGGTTTTATTTCTGTTCAGGCGGAACGCAGAAGATCTATTGCATTAGAAGGCGGTAAGAGGAAGCTGACGCGCAAGAAGTGGGGCGATGAAGAAGGCGAGGGTGATTATAGTTCGGACACCTCAAACAATAACAATGGTGCTAACAACACCAGCAGTAATAATAATGCCAATTTGGAGGAGGACAATGATAGTGATGGGATCTTGGCAATTGATGACTCTATGGATGCTTCTGTCAACACAGAGAATGATGAACAGGATCCCGCTGCAGCCTCTATGTCTTCGTCATCGCCTAACTCTCCTGAGGGCGACAACGATAACCTGTCAAGTTCATCCGGTTCTGGTTCAGAAGAGGATGATGACGATGAGGAGGGGCCTGTGGTTCGTGGCAGAAAGCGTTCAACAAAGGGTCGTTCTTCAGCACCTAAAAGGCAACATCCGCCTGCAAAGAAGCGCGCCACTGCAAGGACTCGGAAAGCGGCGGCATCGGTTTCTGTAGATTCAGATGAGGAGGGAGGCGAGGAGAGTGACTCTGAGGATGCGCCTCGAGTCACTGGTCCCTCAAAGAGGCGAAAAATGGTTTCTCGACGGCTCCTCGATGATTAAGCCTATTTGTCTATACGTATTTATAGGCTTGGTCAGTGTACAGTGCGTTTAAATGCGCAATCGTTAATCCGTGCAATCCAGCCCTAAATTGAGCCATTCATTAGCAAGATCATCTGCTTTTTTGTCAAGAACCTGACGTCCCTGTGGCAGATCTCTTGAGTAGGGGTTCGCAACTTGGTTCCACGAATGCTCACCTTTATCTGTTTTTTTTTCCCGTTATTATCGGTGCATGATTTTGTAGTGATCGCGAAGTCACCGTCGACTTTTTTACCGAAGCAGCTCTAGAATTTGTCTAAGTTTGAGTCACGGTACTTTGGTTTTGGGGATACTGCGATGCCGATAAAACCGCTCTTGAGAGCTTTGTCTAATCCAAGCTATGGTTCGGGTATATGTTTGGCAGTGGATTCATCTCCCATTTTTCTGTTTTGAGTTTCCGTTCTGAGGTGGAGGGATAGTAGGCTCGTATTTTTAAGCAATGGCGATGCGGTATTGTCAGCCGTCACCACTGCGCTTCTAGAGCCTCTTCTTTAATTTCGGTGGAAAGAAAGTGGTGTGATGTAATTTGTTCCTTGATTCCATTATTTTGAATTCGGTGGTAAACGGTATGGTTCTAAGGAGCTTTGATCATGTGATCGTCTCTTTATGCAGTTCGAACATGAATATATATTGCGGATAGTAGCGCTAGTTCTATCGTCTTAGTTCTTTCAGTTCTTGTATCCAGATTCAGTTTTCAAATTGAATTATTCGCTTTGAAAAGCTTCTAAATTGTATCTCGAGGTGGAGTTTTCACATTTTCTTGTTTCAAATCATTTTTGATGATAGATGTCGTCTTTAGCATTTGCAACAACTGCCAGTATCCGGCCCAAGCGGAATGTGTGAGTTAAGCCGAATTCAGTTTTCAATCCGGAAGGGGGTTCCCATCTAAAGTATAGAATTGCGGGTTTTTGGTATATCTTCGTCTTCTCTATCTTCATTTGAAGGCTGTTATTTGAAGAGGTGTTGTGAAAATACAGGACGATGCACATTGCGCAATTCCTATTCTATAAAATTAGCATCTGAACTAGATGGTTTGTTAATTGGTGAATAATAGATGCGTGTGACAAGCGGTGTTTCCTTTTTCATTCATCATTCATGGCTAGGTGGGAATAGACGTGTATATACGAGCGGATGGATGGCGTCAAAATGAGGATAGATGCGGAATCTCGGAGGGAGGAAGAGATTGGTATGTCTGCCGTGATGCGGGCGTTGTGCCCATGCACTTTGCTGGCGCACTGCATTTGATCCAGTCTGGTTTCCGAAATCTGGGGAAGGAGCTCGGTATTAAGTGTGGACGATTTTAGAAAGACCTAGGAAGGTGGTGGCGAGACGTCTCCTTTTGTATATTTTTTTTTGCCTAAATCTGAGTGGGTCGCATCTTCTTCGCTTAGTCACTTTCAATTCTTCTGATATGCTCTCTACCACTGCTTCGTTTTGAACTTACACAACTTTCGTTTTGTGGTTGGACGCTGCGTAGTGAATCCTGACCGTCGTTAGCAACCTCTCCTGTTACGTGCAGGCACATCGGTGCAGTGGCTGATTCAACCGTATCTTTAAATAAGGAGCGTTTTGAGAATGTGACTCGAGTGACAGGGTGATTTCCCTTGCTCCTGAGGGGATAAGCGAGCTCCGCACGTGGTCTGATTCGTTCCTGTATTGTACTAATGCGGTTATCAATCGAGAGTTCTTTATTCATGGACCATTTTTTCACGCAGCAGTGTGATTATTGGTCATTGGTCAATCGTTGTGGTAAAGTCTGTGCAGAGTTTTGAACATCTAAATTAGAACTACTTTGCCGACTTAGAGTCCAGCTTATCCAAGTTTAAAAAAGCTACATTGCGCGCATTGATCTGTTATTTTGTATATATTTATGCATAATTGTTTGCGTTTTTCTATTTTTAGGTAGTGTAAAATGTTTGATACTTGTTTAAATGGCCCAAAATTCGACACTCTCTCTTCTATGATTGGCGAACTAATCGGGCACAAGGAACAGTTCTGCGTCCCTTACCTTTTGGCGTTCTGCTGTTTTTCAATTCATAGTTGACTTGGTAAAAACATCCTTCAGCTCTCTAAATGTAATTTTTGCTTTCATAATTCTGTGAGGATATTTGTCTTATCAAGTTGTCCTTGTCAACTTTGGTTTATACTTTGCAAGCTTGGTCTCATGTTGCATCCACACACCGGGTTTTCCAACCAAACACCAAATTCGAACTCTCGTGAAATCGGTGGTCGAATAATTCACAGACCCATTCCCGTCGGTGCCTTTTCATCACGTCCCCCTGGTGTGCTTTCATCTTACAATATGCCTCCAAAGGTCTCTGGTCAGGTTGATGGTACACCAATCAGTCACTGGTTCCATGGTAACATTAGCCGCGAAGACACTGAATGCCTATTAAAGCATAGTGGCGTTAATGGAACCTTCCTCATTCGTTATAGTACATCAACGCAGAAATATGTGCTAAGTGTCATTTACAACCAACAGCTATATCACTATCCTATCGAAGAGCTTCTCGATGGATTTTATCAGGTACGAAGTCTTTCATATATCAGCATTTCATTTTAACATTTTTATAAGCATTTGTGGTCTTAAGTGTTGCCTTTTTGGATGTATTTATTTACGTTATGAAATAGCTTCGTGTATACCGTGCTTTTCTTCGATATTTATCAATTTTTATCGTCTTGCTATTGCTCTTCATATGGTCGCTCTAAATCACACACCTTTCATGGGAGGTCGCTTCTTTAATGACTTTTTGAGGCTGATCCTTTTTTAAATGCCACTGAGTAAACTCGTCTTGCAATCGCTTTACATTTCACAATTGATGTGCATCCAGCTTGCAACATGTTAATGTTGAAAATGTTCTGCATATAGGTTAACGGGACGAATGCCAAGTACTTGGGCATCGACTTGCTTGTATCGGAGTTCCGTCGTGCGAACAATTGCATTGTCTGCTCCCTTGGCAAACCCATTTTTGGTGCCAAGCCGCCACCCCACATAACTGTCTATGGTTCTACCAACGAACTTCATCATGCAGTGAGGAAAGGCAACCTTAAAGTTCGTTGAGTTCCCAGTGCAACAGTTCCGGTTGTTCCACAAGACTCCATATTTAGAAGTTGTTTCATTATTAACTCAAAATTTCGTAAGCTAATTTTGAAGCTTGCATTAAGCGGTTTCTTAATGAAATTCCCTTTCGGTGTTGCACCAAATAATTTGCTTTCATATCTCAAAGTGAGGAACAATAGTTTAAGCGAAAAGTTGCACTCTATTCATCCAAGAGTTTCCAAATAGTTTCCAAAACTTACCACATAGTTTGGAATTACCCAACATATGCCGCCTTTTTTCCATCCTTTATATTGATTGGTTTTTCACTTGACTTACCTCCTTTAACAGATGGACTCGACTAACGATTGACATCCTGCTATCTGGTATTGTCGCTCGATTAGTTTTCGATATTTGCTACTATTCTATAGAAAATCTGAGTGTTTAAAGTAGCACAAACGTATCAGAGAGTGTCATTCAATTCTCTTTTCATTTTACTGAAGCTTATTTGCGATTGTTTTATGCTCTTGTTTCGTACTGACTTGTGGTTACAACAGCTACTTTTAGGTTTTTCCCCCCTTACAGGGTGTTCGCGATCTTCTCAACCGCGTTGCCTCGACGACTGTCAGCATCAGCGAGTATGTCAATGAGAAATCCGCAGACAGTGGTGCCACCCCACTCATTGAGGCCGCTAAAACCGGATCTAACGACATTGTTCGGGTGGGTTTTGCGTTCTTTACTATTTGCCAATTTCTATTTCACTCGTTCCATGTTGACTGACCTTTCTTCGGGTTGCGTATTTGACACCTATTAATGTTGTTTGGGTTTTTAATGCTCTCGTTTGGCTTTTGTCTTTACATGTAAAAACTAGAAAGCTAGTAGTCCATAGTAGTCATAGATTGGCCTCCTGCCAACGCCTTAAAAAAAACGTTTTTTTGAGTTTGAGTCGTGTCATTCTCTTCAATCCATCTTGTGCTTTTCCCTTCCGTTTTCTTGCACTGGCTGGCTGGTGTCGCCAACGTCACGTTACTGCGTTCCTAACTTTGCAATTTTTCTTTCTTGCTCTCCTGTGCTGGTACTCCCAAGTCGCAGACTCAAAAATCCCCTTTTTGAAAATTTTGTGTTGCGCGCGAACTTTTTAGTTCAAAAAATATTCGCCTCGTCTTTAAAACATCACTACACGCTCGGTAGACCTTAGCATCAAACCCTGAAGAGCTGCAAATTGTCTTTATAGACCCAATAACTGTCTATAAGGTGTTATATTTGGTAGTGTGACACTGCCTTCTAGCTCTAGCATTAACTCCTCCCGTTCAATCTCATTTGTTCACACCCATTTTCATCATTTGCGTATTCACCGAAGCTTTGCATTATCTTCTCACTAAACGTCTTTTTTACTCCGTCCTATTGCGATAAGCTTGATGGCTAGCCCTTCTCAAGCTTGGAAGTGGGAGTTTATAAACGTCCACATCTTCCTGCTTTTGAATTTTCGTTTTCAGTTTCCTTTCTAGGCCCACATTTCATCACCTTTCAACTCTATTTGTATTCGACTTGATCCTTTTTTGCTACGGTTAGGCGTATTTCGATGAAATTTGAACTAGACTGCGTCTCTGACCAAGAATTTTTGACCAAATATCGAATTCTTTATATTTCCTTTTTTGCAAAATGTGCACGTGTGGTCACTGACGCTAGGAACGATTTTGCTTCTGCTAGTCAAGTCCTTGGTCTGTACTGCAAGGTTAAGTGTATCCAGTCATTCAAGTGCTGATTTACTACTCACATTCTTCTCTCATCTCAGAGATTTAGGCTCAGTATGCAGTTCATCAAGGATTTTTCACGACACCCTGATCTCGATTGTCCTTACTGACTGTGAAAGGCCTATTTTTTACTCGCACTCATATTATAAAAACCTGGATCATATTTTTTTCTTTGGTTAAACTGTCAAAATATCGTGTCACGTCTCTTAGGCCTTATCAGCCCCTCTACTTCATATCTTAACTCTTGGCTGCCGCTAGGTGCAGTTGACACCACGTTACCCGTTTGCGGACGCAGACGGGAAACGCAGAGTTGTGTATGTGAGATGCTGGTGATGAACGTGGTAACAATCAGGCTTGCAAACGGCCACCACTAAATTCTGGTGGTAATGAACATCTCTAGTTGGGTCCCTTTATGGCTAGATACCTTAGCTCCCATCATCTACGTATTTCATTGATTGAAGTCTTATCTATTGTGAGGTTTCGTAATAGTGTTTGGTCAAGTTCTTGCTCTCCTGTCCACATTATCTCTCCGTACTTGTTGTTGGGGCTGAAATTGAAAAACTGTCCTTGCGCACTGGGACCAAGTAGTGCATAAATTTCAAGCACTTAATCTCCTCAATTTGCTGAATTTTGTTTCTTTCTGGTAATAACTTCGTCTTCATAATTCATCTGCAAAATAACTATTTTAATGTTTGACATATTAATGAATCTCGTTTTTTCCTCCGTCTCAAGACCTCATACAGCTAGTACTGTCCAGCATAGCTAGGTGAATAAGGTCAAACAATTGGTTCCTTTTTTTCTGGTCTTTTTTGCGCAACTCAGCATTGGTTATCGTTTAAGTGTCAGTAATGAATCAGGCCGTTACAATTGCCACCTGGCACTCTTCTTACTCCTGACCTGATTTTTTCGACCTTTTCCTCCTGTTCTTGGCTGATATGAGACTCGCTTATTAGCAATATTTTGTTTTGTTTTTCTAATACTCTGACAAGTCCCATTCTTTCAAGGCATATTCATCAGGATTTATGAATGTCATTGCTCTTATTATTTACTAGCTGGCATTTCTCAAGTGTGAAAGATTCATTTCCATGCACAAACACCTAGTTCATTTTCTTTGGGAGCTCAATTGAATGAATTTACTGACAGAAATAACTACGTAAATATGCCAGTCGTGAGTACGTTGTTTCGTCACTTTCACGACTCCTCTGGTTGTTCGGAGAGCGCCGTAGAGATATTTAGTTGAATTCTCTTTTACCTTTTTGTCACCGCAGTTGCTGTTGGATCATGGAGCGCAGGTGAATCTGCGCGACTGCGGCGGCTTTACGGCGCTGCATCGGGCCTGCCAAAAATCCTTCGCTCATGTGGCGGAGACTTTGCTGCGCTTGGGTCGAGCCAATCCCCAGATCAAGTGCCCCTTTTCTGGTAATACCGCCCTCCATGAAGCAGCAATGCTTGGCCATGCGGATTGCGTCAACTGCCTCCTTGAGTTTCACGCCGCTCCGTGGGCCCGCAACGCTGAACTGGAAATGCCCTTTGAACTGGCCCTCCGTTTTGGTTTCGCGGAGCTAGCCAACGCGCTTGCTGGATATCAGCCCGTGCCTCCCTTAACCTCACAGGTAACTTCACACTCACTGCACACTTACTTACTTGCTTTTTTAGATAAACTGATGCCTTGATTCTCTTTGACTCTTTTAGTGTATGGCAATCTCACGAGCTGCTTTTTTTCTTGCCCCTCATTATTTATATTCGATTTCTTGTAAGGGGATCGGCTCTCGGGTGCAAAAGCATTCAATACGATAGTTTTTTTCGCGTTTCTCTCTTGAGAACCTTATCGTGTGAATGTTCTTAAATCTCCATAATCGTTTTGCGCTTGGAGTTTCAATTAACTCCCCCATTGTATCTATCCAATATCTTGTTTTGTTCTAATCTGTTTTCGTTATCCTCATTCCTTTTAGAAAAACATCACCTTGCCGCCTTTGGAATCCTGAAAACCATTGCTTAATGTTCCTTTACTCAGCTAGTAGAATCTTTCCATTTATATCAAGCTCCCCATAACTATTAATTGACCCCTGGTGTTCAGTAGTTGGTTCATTCGTTTTCCTCATCGACAACCACATCTTCTTCTTATTAAGAAACATACCACTGATTTCTGCCCCTATTTTTCTGTCTTCCTCATACATCAAACTCGCTTTCACTAGAACGTATGTATTTCTCCCTCTGTTTTCTTTGTTTAAATTTTACTAATCTTTTTCATGTTGTAACCCATGCTTGAATTTATTTTTTGCAAACCGCTCTCAACTATTCTTTAAATAAGCTTGGCGAAGTTTGCTGCCTGCCAGTTTGTAGTGCGTCAATTGTTTCCGTATCGTGTGAGAAATTTGTGAATTTTATTGCTTGTTGCATTGGCCTGCGGGGGAACTTCAGATTGAAGTGGGTTTTGTGAACAGTCTTGCTAGTTGTTGCTCCGCCTCATATACCAGGTCTTTCACGAACCAACATTCTGTTTGGTGAACAAGCTGGTCCTCTAGTGTCTCCAACTTACCCATCTTACGGTTGATCCTGACTTCTGACTCAACAGAATGCTTAAGTGATTTTGAGTCACAAACCCACTTTTCTCATCATCGGGAATCTTTCCAAGATCAACATATTATTTGTGTTCCTGTTCTGTTTAACTGTTATCACTATCATTTTGGCCTTAATCCTAAGGCTGACTTTATCTTCGCCTTCAGACGACGGCAATACTTGTTTGTGGCGTTTTGGGAGGAAAACCTTAGTATAACGTCCATGCATTTCTGTTTTAGTGAGTTTCAGATGTACCAGGTGTCTCTTTGGATCCCATAAGTTGCTGCTTCGACCATTTATCTCTTGCAAAGTGTGGTGAAGCATTTCCAAATGTTCTCGTATTCTACTGCTACAGAAATGCTTACTGTAGGTGGTTAAACTTGTCGCAAAGACAATCAATCTCGTTTCAATGCTAGCTTGGTACTGCTGAAGATTTCTATAGCATTATTTTTTTGTTTTTTTTTGCCGTGTACAAACTATTGGTATGCTCATATGAGATTCATTAGCTTATTGTGGATTGGTTGCGTATTTTTTAAGACTAAGTGGAGTTTCTCTTGTAATTGTATATTGGCACATGTCTGGTGTGTCTCCTTGGACACCACCTGAACAAAGTGGGTAGATTTCCATTTATTTACCAGGATGGCCAATTTCTACTGCTCCTTGTGCTCTTAATATTTGTGAAATAGTTCATATTTTTTAAAGGATCATGCGCACATGCCTCCGATGATCCCTCCGAATTTACAAAGGTACTCTCTGTTTCGCACGTTTTTAAATTCCTCCTTGAGTTTGCCGCTGCTCAAATACTCCCTGTTGAATTGTCCTCCATGGTAGGTGTGCTTGACTGAGCCTTCATTATTACGTGTCTCACGTATTCCCCTTCCTTCATCACTAATTCATTGATATAGCCTTGAAACAATTTGTTTTGCTTTCGGTTGTGTTGTCGATGAGCTCTTTCGTACTGTCATGCTTGTAACCACATCTTTGATGGTTTCTTAACAGCTGGGACAAGCTTTTACGGTTGCCTCTAGTAGTTCATGGACATTTATTCGTTTGCTTTCGGGTTTCCCAGATTAAATGCAGTACCTAGCGCATGATTTTTATCATTAACGGCTTCCGAGTCTTGATTAGTCATAGAGAGCACATGTTTCTGTCATTCAGCCGAGCTGTTCTCGAAGGATAAAAAATATCGCGTGAGATTTGATTTTACTGTATAGAAGAAAGGCGGAATAAGGAGTATGCTCGGGAATTTGCATTATTAACAAGTTAGAACTGAAGTTTGTGGTATTGTCTGTCTTCAAAGGAATATTCTATTTGATTGTCTTTGGAATCCTTGAATGGCCTGATCCACGAAAAATAAGGTTATGTGGACGAAGATGGACTCAATTTTTTTGTTGTATGTCGATGATCGTGTTAATTATTGCCTGAAAGAGGCACATAACTTTGGAAACTCAAGTCACACCCTTACATGGTCAACGAAAGCAAGGTGCTTTAACTTATCGTAGTGGTAATTTTAACTACTTTGCATTAACTGTTATCAAGGTGCTATGTCAAATCAAAATCCTTCATTTTTATCGTATCATTTTCCTTTTCTTACTGGTGTCTCGACACAGTCGGACTGGTTTCACCCGTCGCTGTCAAAGGGAGAGACAGAGCGTGTGTTTGCCACCAGCTCGGCGATGCAGGATGGTGCCTTTTTGGTGCGGCGTTCCTCCCAGTCGGAGCGCAAGTTTGTTCTCGTCCTCTGCTACCAGCGCCAGAGCCTAAAGTACCAAATTGAAGTGGTCGACTTCTCCTTCCATCTGGATACTAAGGAGGCCTACTTTATTGATAAGGTTTCCCAATTTTCATCTCCTGTCTTCAATACTTAAAAAAAACTACGTATTCAATTCTTGTGCCCTCTTTTGTACTGCTTTATGCAGTTATTTCATAGATTGCATTGTTGCTGCTATTTGTTTTTCTTTCCAAGGAGATCATTTGAAGTTATAATGCCTCAACTTCAGTAACAATTTTCTCTGTTTTCTCACACTATTTTTGGATTATTTTTCTACTTTTATACGTGTTTTCAGAAAGTGTGAACTGTTTTTAACCACCAGTATATAGCTATCTAAATAACGATTTTTCCTCCTCTTTCTTTGTACTTATCAGTGAGCCTCTTTTTCCTGGAATAATGGACGTGTCTAAGTCTATAAAATATATTTCTGGATCCTGCTATCTGCTAGTTCCGTCCCGGAGGTTTCCGTTTTTTCGTACAGAGCTTTTATAAAGTCCAGATTCCGTGCCTTTCAATTTATAAAGGCCATTTAAGATTCCTTATCTTCGTTGCTTGCTAGTTGGAATTATCACAGTGTGTTCAGAATACTAGGTTTGAGGTGTTTAACTTTTAAGTATTGGTTAGGTGTACCATTGCATCTCGCTCCCGCTTCGCTCATGAAAATAAAAGCTCATATAGCCACATTCAGAATTTCCTCCCGTCACTGACCATAGTTAATATCGTCTGAACGTCTGTTCCACTGATAGTGATTCTAAGATGTGCTATTACTATTTACAAATTCTTCTCTAAACACTGTGCGTATCTGAGGCCCATTCGCTGTCACTTTCCAGTAAACACAGATAAATTCAACTTCATGGAGGTAATTTACCTGGTCCCTTCCAATCCAACTGTTTATCGTCATTTCCTGATGCGTTAATCCTAGTCATGCCTGCTTAAAGTCGACCATTTACCTATTTAGGGAGTGAGGTTTTGCGCATGTATAAGCGCGCTTGTAATGCGGCGGCTAGCTTTCACTTACGTCAGCAGCAATGGCAGCAGTAGGCTATAATGGTTGGCTTTTTTTCTCATCTCCTCATCACAAATCCTGTTTTTTTTACCCTGAGAAGTGTTCGTCGTGCAATACGTAAACAGTAAATTTAAAGTTGACCTATTCCTCATTATCTAAGGCCTTAATATCCGTAATTTCATCAGTTATATGGATATTAAGTATACACTCAATGGAGTTGGCAAATGTTCTTATTCCTCTATTTTGGCACTCACTCTTTGATTCCACGGTTATTCTGACCGTTCCATTTCGTTTCCTTATGATTATTCCGATGTTATTTCAACTTGCGTAGTGCGGCCAAGCCTTACTAAGCCTTTCCTATGGCTTTGCTTGCCACGTAACTAGAACTTCTTTTTAATAGCACAAAGGAAATAACTTAGCCATTTCAATTTGGCATATTAGTTTGCAAATCAGTTGTTGGTAATCGGACGGATTGAAGGTGTACTTGCAGCCCAGACGTGTTGTATAAACACAAACGTTTGCTTCGAAGGCAAAGACGCCGTGCTGATTCAGTCTCTTTTGTAAATAGGTCACTTCAATCAGACGTAACCAGAAATTGCCTACCTTTTTTCGAAATTTAGACTCATGCTTCCCAAATGCATTTACAACTCAAGTTGATATTGATATACACTTTTTCCTTCATCCTCTCAAGAGGAAGAGATGGTAAGTCATAGGTCTGACATTTCCAGTAGGTATGGTTGTCTCGTCCTCTTAGTTGATTTATTTTTAATGCTAGTATTGGGAGAATTCGTTCAATTAATCAGGGTGTAACTAGGCTTAATGGTTCAAATGGTGTCTCTTGCTCAAACATTGAGTTGTGATAATGCTGGAGAAATACATGAGCAGTCAACCATAACAGCCACCAATTAATTGGATCATTGAAAGTGCTAAGTCCCAGTGAAGACTTTATTGATAAAACAATTTTCTCTACCTCCTAGATTCCCCTAACATCTTTTTAGATACTTATCATTTTTGGTTCATGCCGCTTGAGTTTGGCTCTTGGTTTTGATTCGCCTTCAGTTGGTCTCGTTCCCCACTGCGAAATAATTGAACGCTCTCTGTTTTGTCTAGACTGTTGCCAACTCTCTCGAGGTCATTTTTTTGGGCTGCTGTAGTGATAGTTTTATGATAGGACATAAACGTTTCACAACGGTAACCATAGGAGTCCTGTGTCGTGGTTGCTCTTGGAATTTGACGTAACTTCCTAACTTTTAATCCTTTGGAAATAAGGTGCGATGGGATGCTGGGAAAATAGCTCACATCGAAGGATCTGGCTCCTATAAGTAGAAATTTTAGGTAGAATTGTTCGTATTGCTGCGTTCGCAACAAGTATATTCCTTGCTGCTTCCAGATCAAGCAACGAATATCGATACGTTTTCGCATCCTTTAGCTCCTTTTACATGAATCGTATTGTGTGATATTACTGTTGTACCTGTTACAAGCAACTGTGACCAGATTCTTTGAGGGAAAGAGAGATTAGTACATGCTTCTAGCAGGAGCAATCTGTATTGGCTCAATCTATGAAATGGCTCAGAAATTGGCGAAAACGGAAGATTTATGTGGCACACCAGGTATCATAAATATGGTGAGCGAAATTTTCGCCTCTTACTAGATCACTTCTATAGTGGACTGTTTTTGTGCTCCTTATTGATCTCCTTCCTCTGACTTGCAAATTGCTCCTGAACCTGTGAATAATGTTCTCATCTTTCTGTATATATGGATGCCAAACTGGAGTTGAGCTTTGACATTGTAGGGCCCATTCCATCTGTCACTGGAGCACTTCATTGAGCACTATAGTCGCTTCGCAGATGGTATTCCCACGCGTCTACGCTACGCCGTGTCTCCCACAGGCAGGGTACTCAATATGGAGCGACTTCTCTCTTCTTCCGGCTCTTCTTCCTCCTCTTCCACACCCTCCTCTGGTCGTGAGTTGGTCAAAGTCGTCTCCGGTAATGATCGTATTTCCTCTAGTAGCGAGGCCTGGGCTCTCGCTCCCCCTCCCTCTGGTCATCGGGGCGCTCCTCTTGCAATGCAAAGCCACGCCTTTGCCAGCGGTCGTCCCAAATCCCAATCTGCTGTGAGTTTGTCCTCTTTGGCACGAAATTCGGACTTTTTTCTCTATCTTCTTTATTATCCAAGTGTAGTGCGGCTAAGAGTATCGTAAAGCTATTGGAGCTGGATTTCGTAGGCCTTGATTTGTCTACCATTGGTGGCTCAAGGTTTGTGCTACTAAACTTGTAGTTAAACCAAATGTTGTCCTATTAAATATTCGCTTACATTTTGAATAAATTACCCCTTCCACTGGGCGTCGGATACAGTCCGGATGCGAGTGTTTTTAAATTCAGACATTCATGTCTGCCCCAAATACCAGTCTCAACGACCTACCGTTTCCTTTTTTACTGGGAGGATGGAAAAAGTGCAGATTTCTGGGTGTTGCCAGCTTGTGTTGTTCCTTACGTTTGGTTGTCAGAACGCCTTTCTGGTTCGTATGTTCTGAAGATGGATCATAGTGTACTGAACCTCCGCGATGCAATACGATTGAGGAGATTGGCCATTCCTTGTTAACTTCCCTCCGATCAAGTGCACTTGCCTGCTCGCTTTCATTGAATTCAGTTCAGGCAGAGTTGTAAATTCTCTCACTTCTTCGACCCCTTTTCTCCCTCATCATTCGGAGCCTATCCATGACACACCGACCTGCAAAAGAAGACGCGCCCTCTTACGCATCTCTGCCAGTCTGGTCTCTGACTCATCTGATCATAATCGTCTATTTGCTTTATAAACATCGAACACGCTAGACTTTGGCAGTCCCTATCGTCACGCCTTCTTCCTCGCCCACAACCACCTTGCTCGGACCAATTTCTTTTTTCCCCTATGTGCTTAAGTGTCGGTGGATCTTGGCGATTTGTTGCATTATAATTCTGCATGATACTGTGGATGGACGTCTAAAAATTCCATCAGAGTCGCTTTGTGGTATCAGTACACCAATCGTTCCCACTTTTCCTGAGAGCACTAACATTTGCCATTTACACATCTTCCATGTTCTATGTTACTCCTTTGGACTCATCTTTTCAAACTACCGCTTGATTGAAGTATACTGCCAGTTGCTTTTTTGTTGTCCACAGCTTCTTTAACGATCTGTTTGGACACCAGAACCGATTAGACACGCCAAATCTTTTTCTCTATCCCTGCGTTGTAATACAGATCTTGTAATTCCGATCCTATTGGCAGTCTTTGAAAGAAGGAAATAGCAGTGATTTTTAAGTTTATGGATATGCATTTTATCAGTACGACTATAAGTTTGCAATTGATAATGTGAAGCAACCCGTTGCTGAGATTAGTACCACCACATGGTAAGATATGAACCCTTAGTTCTGGAGTTCATGGGCTATTTTTCGACCCTGACCTTGATACATTGAGGGAATTAAGGGTGCTGAATCACCTCAAGGCTAAGCTACCTCAAACTTTTAGACGTGGGTATTTAATGTCTTTCCCTGTTCTTACCTCTTATTCAAATTTTCAACCATTCTACCAAGTTGCATATTTTACACGTGAAATTCCCTTTTTGTAATCTCACTACCTTGAAGTTGCATTACACCTATTTGTCCCAACCAAAATTTGCCATACAGTTCTCAATGTAAAAGTTTTGACTTTTGTTGAGAATATCCACATTATGACGTACGGTGATCTGTGTTCACTTTCCACCCGTTTTACCGCTACAAATTTCCATCTACGCTAATTCAAGCATCTACATGTTTGCCCTCACTATAGAGCAAGCGCAACAGTAGTTCCAGCTCGGGCATGTCGAGCAGCAGTGCTGTGGTGACAGCAGGCGTGACAGGGCTGCCCTCAGCACCCCCCTCAGCTCTCGGCCTTGGTGGCTCTGCCGGGCCTTCAGGCACTGAGTTGCGCCTCATCCCTAGTGACGCAGTAATCCTTCTCTGTCGCCTTGGTGAGGGCGAATTCGGTGAAGTGTACTGCGGCAAATTACATCTTGAAAATTGCACTACGCAGGATGTTGCCGTTAAGGTGAGCCTCGATTCGCCTTTCATGATGTATCTTGCTCATCCCCTTTCAGGTAATCAAATCTACTCATTTTTTTCCTCTCTATTCCTCCAACCCATTTCTGTGGGGAATTAAGGAACGCGCGATTGCTTTTGGAGGTCGCTTTTCCTCATTTTGGCAAATAATCTTGGCGAAGCTATGCGTATGATTGATAGGTACGCCTCCCCTTAATGGCACTGCGTTGTGTACGAAAATTAAGGGATGTCCAGGAGTTTGATTTTAAGCTTATAATCACTTTCTAAATGGCGCCCACTACGTTTATCAAAGGAGTTAAATCGTACAAGAACATGGATATTTGATTTGCAACAATAGTTGCAAACAGCAGTTTATGAGTTTACCGCAGAGTTGTTCACTAAGTATTGCGTTGTTTTTTACTAGCTATCCTTTTGTTCACCGCATGCTTCATTCCGAAAAGATAGATAGCATCGGCACATAATGGGAGAGTATCAAGAATTGTTGATGCCATGCATACTACATCGCAGCAGATCACAGGACAACTGAATACTATCTGGGATCACTTGGATGGTTTAGATTTGACAAAAACAAAATTGCCTTTGTCGCAAATATTGTCACTTCCTCGTGATACACTTTGGTCCTCTCCCTGCCATGCACATGAATCAGCTGGTGGCGGCATTGGGTATAAAATCTAGATAGATTTTTTTCCGTCACTTTATAAAACGCAAATATTGTTCGAGTTTCTTTCATTTCTTCTCTGGTGCCTTTCGTTTGAGTTTGGAAAGGACGATGGGCATGGTGTACCCATTTTTGTTACCTATTGGGTTATCATAAAAGCAGGTCAGAAGGAACAAGGATCACAGTGCCTCACCGCACATTTCGCACTTTCTCAAGGTAGTTATAATTTTGCACTTCGTGACGACCTTTTGGCAATTCAACTGCTTTTAATGACTGATGGTGTGGCTATTCATAGGAATAGAAAGGTGTGTCCGGAACTGTCATCCACGTCTTACGGACAATGTTTCCTAGGTATCCTGGCCCACACCATTCACTGTTGAAGTTAGAATTAATATGCGTTCAGGTATAGTATATCGATGAGCCTACTCCTCTAACATAACAAATTGTTTTAAACTTCTTGCGTTATAGATATTCATTCATGATTATTTTGTCACATAACACTGGAAATGCTTTGATTCCAACTCGAATCTAAGGGTGATTGTTCCGCTCTCTAGAATGGAACTTTCTGTTCTTGAGCTCCTGATAATTTGTAGTGATCGAAAATTCCATTATTTGTATACTTTTTAGCTCGTCTTGGAATAACTAGGAGTTCTGCAGTTAGTATAAAGGTACGTATCTTCGGCTCACCACATTCCAGTCGCAGCATTTGGATTTCATTCTTACCACTATTTTCTCGTACTGTGCATCATAAATTGTCTGAGGTGCCGACTAGTTTTAGGTAAAATTGTTTTGTTGTTGGAGTATGAAAAACCACCTTTGCTTGATGACTTATTCATCACTGATATTGTGTAAAGGAGAAGGGACTGGGACTGTTAAACTGCCTCATAATTATGCTTCAACAAATGTGTTCTCTGAAAGTCACTTTGCAATATTTTACCTTACATATCATGGCCGCCAGGGTTCTGTTTTTATCCAGCTTTGTATCCAGTGGAATTCGTTCATTCGAATCCCAATTCATGGGTGTCATATTTTCCATTACTTTTTATTTGAAGCCACTACTCCAAGTTCGCATTCAGAACTTGACTATCTGTAAGTGTATAGATCTCGAAATTCATTAATTTACGTTGGTTCATGATCATTTGCTCATCATTTTCACAATAGTGATTGAGATATTGTGTTTCTCGTCGCTACGATGAAACGCAAGCCTACTTGACTGTCCCACTAATGATAACAACTTGACTTTATCCCCTAACCTAATTCTATCCGCTGGCAGTAACTTTCATCACATCAGTACATTTCACAGAAAATGGCACTATGGATATTCATTCCCATTGGTGTTGCAGGTGTTGGTGCAGCCATGTCAGCGGTTGGACTTTCTCAAGGAGGCAAGTATCATGATGCGTCTCTCGCATGAGAATATCATCACAATTTACGGAGTATGTGAGAACAAACGCCTCATGATGATCCTCGAATTGGCTGAGCTGGGTAGCCTCTTGGACTTCATGCTCGACTACCCTGAGCGTTGCCAGTTGCCTGAGCTCTACAACTGGGCTATGCAGGTGCATCTAATTCCTGCCCTTATTCCAGTTTGCTCTACTTAACCCTTTACCGATATAGTTGTTTGCCAATGGTATAGGTAATGTTTCGCTCAATCATTTGTTCTTTTTCATGGAATAGGTACAGTCAGCCCCATCAGATGTATCCGTGCATTCCTTAAAGTATTTGAATAAGTAAAAAATGTTGTGATTATCACTCTTTAAGAGTTCATTTCATTTTGCACTGTACTGGTAATCTTTTACCCATTTCTGTTTCACTGCAATCATCATAAAATGCTTATTTCTTTGTAGTTTCAATTCCATTTGTGTATATAATTGCTCTCGCACTACCTGGTATCACTTTCGCTCCAACTTATCACTACCCTGTTCGCCTATGTGCTTATCATTCTCCACCTATCAACTCGAAAACGCATTGTGGAATTTACTCGTTTTTCAAAATGTTTTTCGGCTTCGATGCCGAATAAAAGTTTTTACTCGTGTTAGTCACCATAATCCATAGCTTTTGACCCCATTCCCTCTAAGACAGATTGACTTCCTTAATTTCACTTTCACAACGGGGATCGTAAGTGTGCGGCAGCTTGGTTTTTTTTCCGTCTGAGCCTGAAATGGCAATTGCGTGACATGCCACTCGTCAGGTTGTGGCAACTGTTCGTGAGAGATCCTCCTGCATACAAGTTGACAACGCTTTAAGGAATTAAGAACAAATTCATGTGTCACATTCGAAAGACGATTGTGTTCGACAACCAAAGCAATTGATAAGTTAATGTCACACTAGAGCAGGAGAATATCGAGGTCGTGTTGGACTCTTCTAACCCTTCGGTGGCAAGTACGTTAATTGGGCACTCATCAATCTGGATGTGCTGTAAGATATTTTACCCATTCCGACCAAAAGCATAAAGGTGCCATAAAGTTGTTCTCAAATTCTAAAGGAACTGTTCTTTTGGGTTGGCTTTACAATGAGTTTTGTTAATGTTTGCTTGCACCCATTTGTAGTCTAAATACTTAGTATTTTTACGCTGTCACTTCTCTCTTTATACTGTTCTACTGCATCTCTTATTTGTCATTGAGATAAGCAGTTTTATTCTGGGTCTATCGGTTCGGCAATCACTTGCAAATGTTCACCACCTTATTTTTTCTCAAATGCAGACTTTAAAGATGAATATTGGCTTTGTCGTCCTCTATCCTCATCCATCTGCACGACAAATTGGAGTGCTCCTCCATATTCCTATAGGCCATCTCAACCATTACTGTTCCTTTGGTTGGCTAGATCGGACATCTCCGTAGTTGGCTTGCTGACACCTAGTGAAGGGATAATGATGCTATTATCCACTTTCTAGTCCCTCCCATCTTCTCATTGGTTGGACACAGCTTGCATGATTCCCACCACCACCAGTATGTGAACAACAAATAAAGTCCCTCGTACCTCGCAGTGTGATAGAGTGTACTTTGACGTCTATATTTAGTGACCCTGTCTTTACGAGTCTTGAGACGGAGCTGCCCTCCTAGATAGGTGACACATTTTTTACCCCTCTGCTGGTATTTTTACCATAATTTTACCGTAAAATCAGAGCAAACTGAAGTTTGCGCTTCACGATTCCAAATCCAATTTCGCAATCAACGATCACGCGACACACCTCTCAAATAACTGCGTCTGTTTTTGGGCATTGAAGGTCAAATTAGGTTTCCTCATTGATTATTCTCGATGGTTTCGCAACCAAAAAGCAGAACGCTTGATCAGATGATCTTTTTAAAATCCAGTAAAATTGCAATGCAGTGCACCATCAATACTTCCCACACAAATTTGCAGCTGGAATTCTCTCTGCCTCTCGCAACACAGATTTTATTTGAGCGTTTTCACTCGTCAACCCTTAAAAATGGAAGTTTCCATTCTTGCTAACAGGTTTCTCAAAGAGCAAATGGCTTCCCGTCATCAGAACAATCTGCAAGATTCCATTATCCCCTTTTCATAATTTTAGAGTTTTACTTCATTGTTCATAATTTGTTAGCTTTTGCACACGCTCTCGCTCCACAACCTTCTTTTCCTGCTTTCCGTTGCTAATATGCAAGCGTTTCATTTACTGCCACCATTCGATCCGGCTTTTTCAGGAATTTACCACCATTACTTATTCCCGCAAATTAGTTGCCGCTGCCTTTGCTTTCCCCAAATTCTATCAACCTCAAAAAAGCGGTCAGTAAGATGTTGATATCTGTTGACCTTTCGTCAGGTTTTCATCAAAACGCAATAAGTGTAATCCTACAGCCATCCTAAATTGATCTGACTCGTAATGCTAGGCTCTATCATGGCTCACTTGCTGTGCTCATCGAGGGGTGCCCTCGCCTCACCGATCGTCTACTTCCTTGCCACAATTCAATCTGTAAGAAACAGACGTACTAACAAAAATGTACGATGTCCCTCAGTCCTACCCTATGTATATACTGAGGTCTCCTTACCCGGGAATTTGCCGCCCAAGATGTAATCACTCCAGTAGGTGGACGCAATTTCGGCCTCGCAATGCATCTACGTAACCTAGATGGAGTTTCATACAAGCAGGTCGCAATTGTGTGACGAGTTATGCAGGCGCACACAGATTAATTCATACCCAGGTCGAACACTAAGTCCTTCAGATCTCACGATTCTCAGTTAGAGTATGTGTGAATAACATGCCTGAGGAACAGGTCGGCTTCAGAAATGCATCACCCTAGAAGGTAAATAATCCCTTTCCGTCTTATTCTTGATCAGATTGCAAGCGGCATGAGTTACCTCGAGTCTGCGGGCTTTGTCCATCGTGATTTGGCTTGTCGTAACGTCCTCCTCGCCTCCCAGTCCTGCGCCAAGATCTCTGACTTTGGACTCTCACGCGCCGTGGGTGTGGAATCAGACTACTACAAGGCCACCCAGCGCGGAAAGTGGCCGGTCAAGTGGTACGCTCCAGAGTCCATCTATTACAAGACCTTCAGCACCGCCAGCGATGTGTGGTCCTTCGGCGTATGTTTGTGGGAGATGTTCTCATTAGGTGAGCATCCATATGCGGAGCAGGACAGCTTTGAGGTGTTGCGCCAGTTAGAGGAGGGGGTGCGATTGCCGCAACCGCGATTGGCCAGTGACGAGGTCTACGACGTGATGCTCGACTGTTGGGCCTATGCACCCGAGGCTAGACCTAAGTTTGCCCACCTCCTGGCCATTTTTCGACACCTGGCTACCAATGTGTACGAAAATGTGGCTGCACCGTCGCAACAAACTACAACTATGACTCCTGCTGCCGCTTCATCGAAAACCAATGGGGCGGCAGGAGGCATTCATATGTAGAAATTGAAAGTTGAAGATGATCGACGCACACAGACGCTCCACCCCTTTCCTTCTTCCACTAATGAGTGTATCTTTTGGATCTCCCTTATTCCCTTCGCGGAGTTATTTTGATGAGGCCACTCCCGTGCATGTCTCTGTACTACTCACCTCCTCAACTTCTACCGTTTATAAGTACCACGGCGCTACTCTCAAGTTTAAGTAGCAACTTGGACGACACTGCCACGAAAATAGTCTATAAGCAACTGAGAATTAAAATGCGGCTCAGGCCTCTAATGCTCCGAGGAAGTCTTTTGCACTTGCGAGGGCTGCACAGACGGCGCCGAGCTGCAGTTTCTCGGAGGCACCACAAGACATACGATATTCCACATCAGAGAGCATGGTTATCAGGCCAACTTTTACGTTGTCTGGCATTTTCACTAAAAAAAGGACAAAAACGGCGGTAATATCGATATGATAGGAATACGAGTGTAGGCGCCCAAAGTAATTAATTTAAACCTACCTTGCATGATTAAGGGATGCAGCTCCGAAACGATGTCCTGCAGCGCCATGCCCTTATTAACCTTCATTTCAATCACCTCTAGAAAACGCGTAAACGCAAGAATTGAGCCAAATGGATGAGAACTTGAATGTCATACATAGACGGAGAGTGGCGACTTATGCGCCCCCAGGTTCGAATGACCAGATCACAATGTACGAATAGCATTTCGAAGCGGACGCAACTTGAATCCGCCGTGTAGAGGTAAAGGCTTTCCAGCAAACTATTCCTTAGCCTGAAACATCCTTACTAGTTGATAAATGATGACCCCATTAACAAGTCCCAAAACTAGGTAGAGACAATCCAGGGTTAGGGCGCAAAAATTGACCTGTGTGAGGGAACAATGAAAAAACGCACTCTTTAAAGCCGAAGGGAACGGTTCATTGAGACACCAATCGAGGAGGGACCGCATTTCTCTCGGAGCTGGGTAACCAGCGCAAGCGTAGACAGTGGCCTCATCGACCACTTGACCGGACAATGAAGCACTCTTGAAGGAAGTAATGCAACACCGTGTAGCATGAAACACGTACAGGTGGCTCAGATTCCAAGTCAAACGCTAACTTCTGCAGTAGAGACAAAGGCCAGAGGCGTTAAACTAGGATAGCTCAAGGGAGATTAAGTAACCAAGAATTCAAGCTATAGCTGACGTCTCGAAATTTGACTCCACAAGAGAAAGCCCCTATCAGGGGTCCTTTTCACCTTACATCAACGAACCTGCAGCAAATTTATGGCCGCACGCATATCACCGGAAGAAAAACGGTATAGAGCGGCCTTTCCGTCCTCGGTAAGCTGAACACTGTAAGAAGGAACCAAAACTGATGCTCAGAAATAAGCAGCAAGCATAAAAGCAACGCTGGAATTCCAAAAAAGCTAGCCATAAGAGTGCAGTTGCCACCCTTGACGGGGGCTTACCTTTCATTTTTGGCAATTTCACTGAGACGGGTGATCATATCAGATTTCTGTAGAGGAGGAAAACGAAATCTAGTACATCTCGACTGAATAGCTTGAGTGATTTTTGAGAGATAGTTGCATATGAGACAGAAGCGCGCATTCTCAGAAAACTTCTCAATAACTGAATTTGGTAATTATATAAAGACACACGAATAAATAGTTTTACTTCGACGCAAAGCATTCTGTGCATCTTTGGTCATCGCATCTGCTTCATCCAGAATGATAAGCTTAAACTTGCCACTTGAAAGGTAAATCCCAGCAGAACTTACGAAAATAGTGTTTTCGTACTGGCAAAAGTCAAAACTTGTTCGCGAACAACCCCTATTCCACGATCATCAGAAGTATTCAACTAAAGAACACATTAAGGACAGAATTCAGATCAAAATGGGAATCACATACCTCAAGTACCATGGAGGAGAACTCCTCTGACCCATAAAGATACTTTGCGGCAGCAAGTATGGTACTTGTTTTGCCTGTTCCAGGCGGACCATAAAGTAGTAGGTGAGGCAATTTCCCACGGTAGAGAAATTTGCGAACTATACGAAAATAACCAAAGCGCGACACTACTTGTATTTATTATTGCTTCATGGCCCATTAGGTCACCCAAAGACCTCGGCCTATACTTCTCAATCCTAAATTAATCAGTGAATCAAATGAACCCACCTACCAAGGTAAACGCGGCAACGACATCTCCGCTCTTCCCTACCAAGGCGCGTTCTAAATCATTGATGAAAACAATTTCAAAAATTAATTGGTTAATGATTCTCCTCCTTTTACTAAAAAAGCATTGGAAAACACATAATATTAACATTGTCGCTAGTCTACTAGTGCAATAGTGTAAATAGTGCTTAGCAGCTCTTGAAACAGATTTGCTATGAATTGCTAATTGCAATCTATTTAGGCTCGAACTTTCCTTTAAATTAAGTACACATAAGGGTATACTGAAATCAGTAAAAGCTTCATAGAGGATTAAAATGCATGATTGAGAGACCAAAAAATACGACTACATTAATTGCGATAATTAAGTTGTTGACGTCAACCAGACCGTATCGGTAGCGCTCTATGATTCCATACTAAGTAGGAGAAGCCATTATATCGGGCTGAATGCCTACGTTTTGAGATGAAACGAAGGACTTGTATCTTGACTTGGACCAAAGTTTAGCCTACGCGTACAAGGGTAAGTCGAATATCAGTTACCGAACGCATAGCTTTGCTCATGTGACTACCTGACGTTTGGCGATCACTTTGGAATTTGTCTGGCCTCTGTACACGTGGGCTGGCCTTCGGGCCACGCTCAGGTCCCATTTGCCTTTTCATCTTCCGAATACATGTATTTGTCCACACTCATGCCTTCTACTACACTATAGGAAGCCTCGGAACGCTACATCGCAAGACTTCAGTTGGTTGCATAGGTAAAGTAATACTGTAGTGCTTTGGTTAAATGACCATTTGATGTCTGGCAGTTACTTTAAGCGTAGTCTAACCCTTGTAGGAGTAGGTTAACCACCGAGCCAGATCCAAGCTTGCTCCCTTTACTTTCTCAGAATGCATGAATTCAGCACCAATTAATACCTTCTTCCACTCGGTGGGAAGTCTTGTGATGCTACAATTACAGTATCTGCACTACTTCGCTTCGTTAAACGCTGTTGCTAGTGTCCCTATGTCCTTTCTCGAGTGGTCTGGCCTATGGGACATGCTAAATCTCTACTACCTATTATTTCCCTTTCATACAAATATATCCATTCAACTTACGTACATTTTAGTCACCATCTGCAAAGAGGTTTATGTGCACGATAGTATCGCCACCATTTACAATGAACGAAGGGAATCAGTTTGTGAACTGCCTGCATAGCCTTCATTTATCTTTTGTCGAATGTTGGGCTCTCTGCTAGTAGTGATGAATGGATAATGCAATACTTCGTTTGTATGGCTACCACGGATTTGTCTTACTCTTATACGAGTGGATTGGCCTTCGAGTGAAGTCAAAGCCAATCTCTCCCTACCCTCCTACAATGCGTTTTTGTCTAATTTAATGCCTTCACCTACCTGACGGGAAGCTTCAGGTCCCTGCAGGTATCACACTCAAAGGTTTTCTCCCTCTGATTGCAGATTTAGAAAATCGAAAACGAGACTCATGTTAAATAATCCCTTCTCTCCAGAAGGTTTGGCATTATTCTCGACAATCCTTCTCGCATGCCATTTTCAGGGGTGCCCAATCCTCTGTTAGAAAGTTAGCGTTTCCCTTCGATATAATCGAGCGCAATACCGTATGGTAAACAACAGTAGATGGAGCACGATGGCTTGCACTACGCATCATCACCCTCACCCTGGTCCCTAAGGATTGTGATGTTTATTGTGACGTCTCAAGAAACGTCATTAAATGGCATTAATTACTTGTTTTTAGAGCGAATCGGAAGGGATTGGTCCTAGACTTGAACAAAAGCTTAGTCTATTCATGTAAGGATAAGATGATACTCAAAGTGGCCATCAGTAACACGGTTAGTCAAGTAAACATGGCAATTGCAACCATTATCGTTTGACAAAGAATTGTCCGCCTAATGCCTTCTTGCAGTAAAATTGGGTCCTATACTTTTTGCGCATAACTCGTTGTGTCATACTTTTGCCATGGCAAAGAGATTGCGCCACCTTGTCAAGGCAATATAGCTGTCTATGTAACTTTTACCTTATATCAGGCAGATGAACCGTAACAATTGTTTCTTACATCTTACCACCTGTTGCAATTTTAGACTGGTAAACTTCGGTCGATGTGTATTTGCTATCCTGTAAGTATAGAAACACCATCAAAGATTCAAACCCATCTTTGAATTGGCTTATTTTAAGCCACAGAATCATTTTGTTCTTACTCCATACTACTCCAGATTTGACATGCTTTCACGGGAGCTGTGTCGAAAATCCTCTTGGGGTTGCATGTACCTTACTTACACTGACAGGAAGTGGGAAGCAGGAACTTCAATATAGGAAAGATTATGATGCTCTTTTACATAGCCAGACCAGAGAGGCTCACGAACAGAGAATCGCCTACCTGGCAGTGATGAACACCATTAAGATGGTAAGTTGCCAGTTGTTAAATTAATCATAAACGAGGGGATTAGACTGCTTTTGCCCCCCGCGAGCATGATTACAGCAATTCGACGTCTTTACACAGTGAAATAAAGGAGGCACGGTTAGCAAAACAGAGCTCCTACCATGCAGATATTCTGAGGAGAATTAGGTGGAGTTACAACACAATGATGCAATTTCGATCGAACTAAGAACTCTTATCAAGATGTGCGTTCTATGCGCAATACTCCTCGTTGTAGCCCACTTATTTTGGACCATAACAAAATATCTTGAGATTGTTATTTTTTCCTGGTCAGCGAATAATGATACCAAGTTTATTGCATAATTCCCCATTACTTGATTATTCATGAGTGGAGGCGAGTTTGTTTCGGACTAAAATTCGGGCCGAACCCCCACCGGGCTCGATCACAGTTTATCGACTATTACAATACAGGGCTGTATTGGTTCTGGCTAAGGGGTTGTCTCTGTAACGTCCCGAGGCTCCAAATGGTGTAGTAGAAGGCATAAGTGAGGTTGAATACATGTATTCCTAAACAATAGGAGAAATGGGGGCCTGAGCGTGGCCCGAAGACCAGCCCAAATGTCAGATAGTCACATAAACAACGCACTACAGTCTCATCGAGTAAAACGGTAAGAGATAGGACCTAAGGTTGATTGCAATAAAAACCCAAAGACCTAAATAGAACCATTCGCACTAATTTTAGCGAAAAGATGCGATAATTAGCTGCGTCTAGCAAGGAAAACCTCACCCGTCTCCTCGAAGTATCAGGCAAATTTTGATACGTACATAAAAAACGCGTAAGCCTCAAATGAAATTTGTTTATGTAAGAGCTGCCTGCCTACCCTTCTGCCTTTGAGCCTCGGACTTCAAGAGAGGATTGGGTGCAGGTGATTTATTTGGCGTTTGTTACAGGGAGAATGGGGGTTAGGATGAAGATGAGCCGAATAGGAGATAGCAACTGAAGAGAGACTCCTCACCGTCTTCGCTCGCTTGATTCCTGTTCCCACTTGATTCCCGCCTCTCTCCTACAAAAGTCAACTTAAACAAACTGGTATATATTACAGCTTATACAACGGGATCATTATCTAATGAATTTCGTCGGGTGTAAAGTACTTACTGGTCGTATGAATAGTGGTTATAAAGGGGGAAGGTGGGTATTCAACCTGAACGCTGCGCAAGCTCGGATGCCAAGAATCGCCCCTTGCCTCTTTTGACTGTTTGTACATAGAAGTGTCTAATAAACGATCGTTAAACTATCCTCCCTATAGGAAGGATGAGATGAAGGCCGAGGAAAAAGTGGATGGAAGTGAATAAAGCGTACCTGCTCGAAAAAGCTTGATTGATAAATGGTCAAACCATTCTGTATGTACTTACATTAGATTCGTTCTGAAATAGTTTAAATATTCATCATATGCCTCCTAAATATTGACAAAAGTGTTTTTATTAATTGAGTTTTAGATCACAATTTTGAATGCTTCGTTAAGTGTGCCCGTCGTGTTGGTCTGATTCTGTGTGGTTGTTTTGTTTCACAAACTCTGAATTAACGGTCTAATCACTTCCGTTTTCGAAAACATGGAGCCACAAGATGATGCCGGGAAAGGTTCTGTGGGACTCAACTTTAGTGGGTCATTAGGGCTCAGTGATACAGCCATTGGTAGCTGCACCTCATTCGTACACTTTGTAGGACTTGTTGGATTGAAGAACCTTGGGAACACCTGCTTCATGAATTCCGCTTTACAGATTCTCGTTAACTGGTATAACCTTTTTGCTCTCATTATCGTCAAATTTTTAGCCGCCCGTTCACGAGGCTATTTTTCGCACGTGTACAAACTTTATCAAGCATATCACAAGTCCCACTCTCAAAGGCTTATCTTGATTTACTTGTTGAAATGGGTCATCTGGAGGATCAAGGGTATTTTCCGCGTTCATCTTGGTCTCCGTGTAGTCGTTCTGTTGCCTCGCCTTATAACGTCCTAGACGTTATTCGGATCTCGTATCCTATGTTTCGTGGTGTGGTTCAGCAGGACTCACAGGAATTTATGCGAGCGTTTTTGGGTGATCTTCATGACGAAACAAAAGTCAAGCCCTTTGACGACTCGAAGTTTCCAGTAGAGTTTAGTAAGTGTGGTAGTTCATTGATTCCCATAACTCTTTGTAAAGTTACATTACCCATAATTGGATGTATAAATATTGGCTTTCCGTTTTGGTGCCTTGATGCAATAAGAAGTCTTGATGTGTATACTGAGTTGATTGTGCTGTTGCCATTTTGCGATATCTTTGTTCTCTTTTGTGATCCTCTTGGATTCCATTTACACATATAGCTTCTTGATTTACCTCCCCACTAGCAACTGTAACTCCAAATAGTGGTGTGACTGATGGTGGCGAAAATCTTTGCAAGAGGCCAGCGAAAAATAAACGGCCAAAAAAGCGAAAAACGAGGGTTCCGAGGGAGGATTCTCCCCGGGAAAATAGTTTTCTTTCCTCCAGTCCTGTGATGGATGTCTTCCAAGGTAGTACAGTGACTTGCATTAAATGTCTCTCATGTGAGAAGGTAAGTACCTCACACGTGATTCTTCTACCATTGGCATAGTTAATTTCAATGATTGCATCTCCACAACTTTTGTTTAGGTTTTCCATCGCAATGAGGTTTTTTTGGACCTATCGCTTCCAATAGCGACCCATCAGTCAAGACCAAAGGCAACCGGAAAAGTCGAATCACAGCTATTAAGCTCTTCTTCACTTTCCCTTCCCCCATTGCCCCGGAGATTACCACCTCCCATCAACCCCAGTGCCGTCTCATCTTCCTCCGTCTTGCCAAGTAGCAATCATCTTGTACGAAATTCTGATTCTGTGGGGTTTTTCTACTGGGCTTCTTTCTACCTTCTTCTGGCCCTAGCCTGGCTCAAGAGCATCCCACCGATTCCTCTAGTCGTCTCCTACGTGGTCCTCGTTACATCCTGGGTCAAAAGGTCCGCTTTAAGTTGGGGTTATCCCACGTCCGGAGTCGGTAACAAGTGTGTACCCTCGTTTTGTGTAAAACTCGTTTCCCATACTCCACTTCATAACCGCACTTAATTTGGGAGTATTTAGGAATTTAGTCATTGGGCTACCATGAAAGACTTCATATGCATAACTAGTTCAGGTTGAGTGATACTGGCAAGTGGAATCGATAATTTCCCTGATATTTCCTTTTATAATTACCGGGTGCTCACGTGCATCATTACAATCGCATTTGATTGTACCTTATCGTTTTTTTCGAAAGCAATTGCATATGCTGCTCCAACCAACAGTTATATCATTCTCATTGCATTTAACTGGAGTCGGTTCTGGAAATTTTACTATTGTTACTTTTTTTCATCCTTGTAGTCTGATTTGGAACCCGCAGATTGAGTTGGAGGACTGCTTGGACGCATTTTTTGATGTTGATGAACTCTCCGGTGAAAATCAGTACTTCTGTGAAAACTGTTCGAGGTAATTTCTCGTTATCAGTAATTGATGATACCTGCTTTTGCGTTCGTGTAAATTGCCTTGAGTAGCCATTTGTTGCTGTCATGAACTATCCGAATTTGGGGTTTTTTTCATGTTCGCTCCGTTTAATGTCGGACGCCATCTTTGGGTTTATTGACTTGTGAGAAAGTGCATGCTTTTTTCTGTTACAAATTGGCGATGTTTCTCAAGTGCAATAAAAGTGTCCCTGTTACCCTAGACATACGAATGGGCGGATGCATGTTGAGTTGACGAAACTGCCCGAAGTCCTCTGTCTTCACCTGAAACGATTTCGTCATGACTTTATAAACACATCAAAAATATATGCTCCTGTCAACTTTCCTGTGCAACATCTCGATTTGAGAAAGTATCGCCATTCCACCTGCCGGGATAAGGTAATTTACCCGAACAATATTAACATTTTATTGCTTAAGTCTATCGTTGAGCCTTTGATTGGACACTTAAGGGAGTGTTTTCTCTATAACGTGTTTTTCATATTCGTTGTTCAGGTTTGCTAGAGTATTACTTTCCCTTAACAGTCTTAAGAGTAGGAGGGTGTCTGTAACCGACCTGACGTTAGTTCTAACTGTGCATTTATGTAGGTGTGTGAATACGACTTGGTCGGAGTGGTGTGTCACTCAGGGACGGTGCGATTTGGACACTACTATACTTACGCTCTCAACTCCGGTGATGGGGAGTGGTACGAGTTCAACGATTCCTCCGTTCAGCATGTTGATTCTGGCACGGTGGCTGCACTCACATCTACAGCCTATGTTCTCGTCTATCGGTACCTCTTCATTTCCAGTCTCCTAGCCTTTCTGCACTTGCAATCTTTACCAGTCTTAGCATCACTAAGTCATTTAAGACTCATCTATCCATTCATCGCAGAATGATAAGCTTACCTTCTCTTGCTTTAGTCTACCTTTGTCCATCTATTCACCAACTCAGTCTCCATTTTTCTCCATCCTTTTTTAATGCTCTTTCCACCTTTTATTCATCTCAAATCCCCTACCTCTAAAAGACTACCACACATACTATTTTTGGTCTGTCAAATCATTCGTTTACTTTGGCGATATTAATTTGTTCATGATCCACATAAATTCCTTTTTTCTCCTCAACCCATCCACCAGTACATCAGCGAACAGTGTTATTCCATTAAACCATCAAACCATCATTTCTTGTGGCGTCGCACTTTCACCTTTTTAATTTCAGGAAGCGTCAAGACTTCATTCTTCCTATTCGGCAAAGTTTCACGATTTCAGTACGTTAAGCTCTTTCACCTCCTTATTTAACAAGAGAGTTTTCAACTGAGAATGGAATTATTTCCTTTTTTAACTCTTAGGAGTCCCCACAAATGGTCTACATAAGCATGCACTGGCTTCTCCGATTTTCCGAATTCGCCGATCCTGGGCCAATTACAAACTTCGATTTTCTCTGTAATCACGGTGCTCTTCAACCACTTCTTTCTACAACGTGGGATAAACACGTTGTTCCGATTTCTCTAGATATGTGGAATTTTCTCTCTTCTCAGTGGGTCTTTGTCTGATGCGTTTCTATGATAAACATAATTTTCTACTTAAATTAAACAGGTAGACAGATATTTTGTTTTACTAGAGATCTGAAGCCAACCTTTAATTTTACCTTGATATTTCATCATAATTTTTACTATGTAAAATCGGTCTACTGTCATTTTTGTCGCGGAGAATTTTCCTCCCATACACATATTTCGTGCTATTCGTGTAGATTTGGTGGTGGGCCTTTTGTCGCCACTCTCCATCCCTGCGGTGTTTGTGAGGAAAAGCTGGAGGTGCTCAACGCTCGTCGTCGGGCGGAACGAACAGCCTTCCAGGAAGCTAAGAAGGAATCCGAATTCCTGTTTATTATTAGTCTTGATTGGTTCAGAGCTTGGGCTGATTTTGTCTGCAGTCGAGAAATTGGTGTGTTTGGCTTTCTCATCTTGTACTCACTGTTTTTTCGAGTACCAACAATTTTCCTTTTTTCAGAACCACCGGGGCCAATTTCCAACTCGGTTATCTTGGAGGTACCAGGAACACTACCCGGCGCTTATCGAATCCGCTTTGGTATTGCTTCCACCAAATATGAGTGGCTAACCCAACCTCAGTGGGCTTTCCTCCTTTCCGTATATGGTGGAGGCCCTGAATACTCAATTAGGAACCCCTCATTTTCGGAAAAACGCCTATTTAAAGCAGAGGAGGGTGAAGCGGCTAATATGGAAGGTAATGAAGATGAACAAGGGGCGAAAGGGGATGTACTGAGGTGCGACACTGACTTAGAGGAAATTGACAAGTCATCGTCTTCCACGTCTGTCTATCCGACGAACGACGAAACCTTCTCGTCTGTCGGAGATATGTCTTCTCTTCCTCCATCTCTTTTAGTGGAAAACTCCCCGATTGTGAGGAAGTTTCGTTCAATGGCTTATAAAACTACCACAAGTTGTTGAAATCTTATGATCTTTTTTAACGATTATGAATGTTATTGATGGATTGGAGCATTATTGACAAAGGCAAAGTTTTATTTAGATTGTTAATAATTTATCGGATTTGGATAAGCTTATGAACCATTTTTGAGCTGTTGTTGTTGTTGTTGATGTTGTTGTTGTTGTTGTTGTAACTTTTTCTATTTTCAAGCTGAGCTTTAGTTTCTTTCGTTCAGACCGGGACTACCTCACCACTAAGTGTCCCAATCTCGGCGTCTTCTCCATTTAGAGCTGATGTCCAACCACATTCAGCCTGTTCCAAAGTCGAGAGTCCCTTTTCAGGGGATGAGGGTTCTCAATCTGTCAACGATTTTCCCCTCTTAAACGGTAGTCGAGCCAATGTTCACTCATCATCACCTCTCCAACTCAGTGCCCTTGGAGACTCCGTTGAAGTTACTCTGCTTAACCGAGACAGGAAGGTGGACTGTGATGATGCTTTGCGAGAGTCCAGTAAGGCTCTACCAAATGGAAGTGTGAACGGAGAGATAGGGGAGGATGGGAAGGGTGCGGAGGCAGATAAGGTGTGCCAAGCGAATCTTGTGACATAAGCAGATGTCCTCTTGAAAAGCGCAGCCATGTGATCGCTTCCCCAACCTCCAGTGTCCTTGTTTTTACCGCCCACCCTCAACTTTTATATTCATCTGATTTCAAGCAAGGATGGTACTCCTATGGTTCCCTCTACCCCTGTTCCCCCCCTTCTCACCGTCTTATTTTGAATTTTTTGAGTTGTTCATTTTTAGTTTACAATGTTAAGGATTGGCAATCGCTAACATTGCGTTTTATGCATTAATGTTAGTTTCCTAGATCAACATAAAAATGGATGAATACTTTGTCGTTAGGCTTCGATTTAGGTAAAATTAGGTAAGAAACTTTCCGTTTCGTGAACTTTTGACTGCTCAGTTCTACATCCTTATGAAGCTTGCAAAGTTATCGCAACTGTGGTTTCCCCGAATCATTGAATTTGGAAAGTCTGTGACCATACTCATGTCATAGGTGCATCGAATGGAGTTATATATTCATGCCTCAGAGGCAAGTAACGATTTCTGAGAGATTAGCCACAGTAGTAGTGACGTAACTTGATTTTGGCTACTCGGATTTCTCGATTAAAAATAGTGCGATGTGCATCATTTAACTTTAAGATGTTTTCATCGCGAATCTGTCACTTGAAGTTGAATAGGACCATTATGCATTGTAGGGTAATATGGAAGCACGAAGGTGGAACCTCAAGTGGCAGCAAAATCAAGATGGGTGTAGATTGCGTCCAATGTGAATCAACTGGTGAAGTCACTGATAGCTGCAATGGCAGAGATTGGTCTGTTAAACACTACTAAGTTCTTCAGAATGGAATCTTTTATGAGTACACATGCCAAGTGAGCTTAACTATTGAAACAAATTGGCTAAGCTAGCAGGAAAAATCAACGGTCATGCACCTCACTATCGAATGCATTCTTTGTTCGAAAATCTCCACTTTCTGTGACATCTGTAGCTGCCCGTACTGAGCAAACATCGATGCAACATGAGAAACCTTCAAAGCTTTTCAATTTGAGCCTTCACCACATGCATTCCGGTTGAGACTCGTAGGCTGCCTTGTGAGTTCGGGGAAGGACCCCAATTGGCCGATTTTCGAACGCGCGACTATGGGAGTGGTCGCTGATTGGCGATCTCGTGGGCTAATGATTTGGTTACTAAAAATGTGCGCCTAGAGCCGCCTGGGAGGCCGCAGCGGGCAATCGCCAAATCATCGTAAGAAATTCCTTTGCCAACACTATTTCCTCTTTTAAGCAATTTCGTTTAGTGCATACTCGAGGTTTTTGCTGTTAGTATTTATCTTTCAAATAGGCAATGAAATTGCAACTTCGAAAGGACATTTACTTAAATAAGACCTTTTCCTCTAACTTTTTATTTTGGCTTTATTATGTCCTTGATGCAACTAGTCTCCTCGAGTTTAACTTTTGATTGGATTTGAAACTGATAAACGAACACGTTTTTAGTTGAGTACGTATTAAAAAGGCGTGCAACACGGTAGGTGTTGCGCCTCCTATGTTAAACTAGAATTAGATTTTTAATAGAGCAGGAGAAAATAGTCTGTTTTGTAGTTTCTTGAATTAGCCATTGTGGTCTTTTACTAAGGGCCCAACAAAATGTCCGCCCTTGAATCTTCACTCAAGGTGATCACGTGTTTCAAATTACCTAGTTATGACTGATTTAGTTTGCTGGTTAAACTCCGACTGTGGCAAATTAAGCTGAAGATCTGTCAAAAAATCCCTCCCGTTTTTCAGCGAAGCGTCTATTAACTGCACTGCTTATGACAAGGCTTTAAATTTCATAAATTAGGTAAAATTGAAAGAAGTTTTATCTGTTGCGAAAAATAAAATTACCAACTGAATTAAACTTAGGCTGCGACGATGTATCCCTTCCCCTCTAGATAAGAAACGCAAAATGTATTACGCTGTCAAACAGATCATAGGCGTAAGTTGGAAGCAAGTGTTAATCAATGGCTACAAAAGGGCACCTCGTCATTATCGTGAACGCTAAGGCTGGGGCAATAGTAGAGCTAATGGCACCTAGTAAATTACATTGCATGTCCAGCAGAATGACTTTACACCCAGTTCCCGTCAATTTATGGGAGCTAGGGTGGGTAGTAGTGTTGCTGCTATCACTACTGTTCCTACCTCGTTGTCCCCTGTAAACAAAGCGTTGTAGTTGGTACAATGGGCAGTGGAACAGGAGGCTTCACTTCGATGACTAACTAGCTACACACGCGTGTCGATGCGCTTAGGTAAGGGGATACCTCGCATGCGCATCGGTGTTCCCTCACTTCTTAACCTTCCCCATGCGCCTCCTCGGTTAATCGCTACCTTCATGTCTAATTGGTCAGGAGCGCAGATATCAAGACGTTCTATTCTCTCATTCCTCCACCTGCTGATGAGTCATGGTTCGGGTGCCGGTCTGGAAATCAGACCACTTTTCTTAGGTCTACCGTGAAGTGACTATCATGTATTCTGCGTTTGCTATTAACGGACAGAATTCGCTTATTTAGTCTGCAAGACTTCTGAGAAAATAAGAAACAGTGTTAAATGAATCTGATAGATTGTGTACCTTCTGCCATGTATCCTAGCGATGGGAAGGTTTGCTGCAACATTGATGGGGGACCACCCCGCTGGTGAGCAGGTAGGCATGTGTAAACTTCCACATTACCATATCAATTAACTTGATGACTTTCCTTCTGCAGTAGCGGTTGATGAACTTGTTACTTCACTCTGGTTGTCTAAAAGGAACTGATCACAAGTATTATTGGCTCACCTTGATCTTTCATGCAAAATCATCAAGAAGTATTTTTCACAAGTCCCAATTTGGGACTTATTAACCTCGCAAGCAATCACTGATTGATGGCAAACTGTTTTAAATTAAGCATTAACTAATGGAAAGATCGCAGCACACCCGCACACGCAAATTTTCTTTCTTCATCCATGCAATGAAAGGGGCATCTATGCTTCTGCTTTCTTCTACACATAAAAGTTCGCTAATTCTTTTTTAAGAAGGAAGAAAACCTTCTTGCTCACCTTTCCATCCGTTGAGCAAGTGATTCCAAACAGCATATATGTTTTCCATATCATGTCCATTTGCTCAATTGCACTGGAAGGAGGGTGTTTTTGTGTCTTTCCACCCATAATTTAATCATGGTGTGGGGAAAAAAATTTAATTAGTACCACCAAAGAGGAGAAAAGACTGCCGATTGGGAAAGGTTAAGAGATCAGCCAGTTAATGTAGACTCTCGAAACGTGACATTTATTCAGGGAATTGCTCTGACTCTGCATCCACAAGGCAGACAACGGTAGCAGCAATTGACAAGAAAGGCGAAGAGGAGGAGGAGGCAGGGATAAATTTGCGGTTCAAATGTTTGGACTTGCGCGAAAAACGTTGCTGTAGACCACAATTTTCTTTTCTTCCCCCATCTCCCTTTACCCCGAGTAAAATAAGAAAGATGTGGAAACAAATTGACAACCCAAGGGCAATTTCTAACTTTCACGCAAGAACATTAACTCACATGCACAGATCATAGTTTGCATGAGAAGGCGTTTAAACGATATCATGAAGATTTTTGAACAGATAAACACCTTAAAATTGTGATTTTCACGGTACCTTTTCGAATCTAGCAAGAAGTGGAAACTCTGAATACTTCTATGCTGCTTCCCATAGTGATAATCCCACGTGTGCGTTAATATTCTCCACAGCTAGGAGACTGATGGAACCAGGTGATAACCGCGTGTTAGGGATATTCGCTTGACGCTCTGCGTTCGAGCATTTGTATGTTTGTGTCTGTGGACATGAGATCATAGTAGTGATAGTGTTATCAAGGCTGCCCACTTTTCCATCGCCTCTGCTCTATCCAGGCGTGTGGTTAATGAAGAGGGTGGTCAATTCCAGAAAAACGCAACTACTTGTGACTCCACCTCTACTCTCCTCTCCTCCCTTTCCACAGCGCTTGATGAAGTAGGATTTATCTCGTCTCCTTGGTCGCATTACACAAATGGCTTGCGTGAGTAACACCAAGACTGGCATACGAGCAGCTTGGATCCACGTTGAGGTTATGGTAACAGGTATGCATCTTCAAAACCGAACCGGCTTATTCCTGATTCAGATGCATGTGCCCTAAAACGGCATGAATAGGACAAAGGGAGTGGATGATTGGGACTTTTGTTTACTACGCTTCAATGATCCAGTTTGAAGTATCAAACTTTGTACTGAAAACGTGAGAAGGAGGAGACAGGCAAAGAGCAAGGCTTTGTGAGCTGGCCTTTCTAATAAAACTATGGCGCGATCAAAGTGTACCACCCCTACTCGTAGCCTAAGGAAACTTGGTTTTGATCAAATTCCTTGTATGTACACGATTTGTTTCACAAGACCATGCATATTTCTTTACTGATACCTTTACAAATCTGTAAGTTAGGAGCTGTCAACCGCACATGTAACTTTACGGCATAAATTTAACGGCAAAGTAACTTGCTTGTTTGAGTACTATCAAGGGAATGAGATGTGTCAGTTTTTAGTCCTGCACCCTTGATAAATTTACTAACGAAATCTAGCAAGCACAAATGTTTTCGATTGGTCACATTACAAAAGTTCGGCTTTTGCACAATTTCATCCACTCTCTGAATGCGCACAGGAATAATAGTGAGTAACAATAAGCGAAATGGGGTTGTCGTTGAAGTGCTTGCGTTATTCAAATCTCATTGCTGAGGGCTTGTGTCCTATAAGCTGTACTAAGACTGTTTGAAGATGTAGGAATGTGTCCAAAGTTAAAGGGTAAATTTATTAATTCTACACTGTTTCTTGGATTGCCACTGCTTTCGTCTTGAGTAGGGCGTGGTGTCTGGCTCGGTCTCGTCTGCGACATGTACATCGGCCCAGCAAGACAAAATTCCCAGACGTTAGCACGCACTGATAAACTTCATAGGTTTAAAGGCATTACCTTGATAAACACTGCCTTAGACACAAAAAATGTGGAACTTTGGTGCCTACGTATCTTAGCAATTTACAAAAGGGAAGCCTCAGAGTATTAAGGAGGAGGTAGCCGATTAGTGGACGGTGGAGGCTCAGCATTTTCTGGCACTTGGAGCGTAAATATGAACTAAACTAATCACATTTTAAAGTCCAAATAGACTCTATGACTATATTTTAAACAACAAGCAAACGAGGTAACAATCGGCACCGCGATGAGAGCAAAGGAGAAAGGAAACAGAAATTCAAAAGAAAATCAGAGGCAGGAGCTTATTGTAGTCACCTGTCTCACAATGGAACAAGTTAAACCCACTAAACATGGATACTAAACGACTTTATGAGGCTCGGGTTAAGTGGGTGGTCGAGGCACTAACGAGAGGGATAAGCATTTAAACAGGGCGAAACTTAGCCTACACAACTTTAGGACCCCTTTCTTCAACCACAAAGCCATGGTTCTCGCTTCTACAGCTCTCCAAATTGAGTAGAAGAAAGAGGATGATTGGGTGGGTTGCGCGGAGTTGTCGCTCTCATTAAATAAGTCAGTAATGTAGTACTTGAATCAAATGAGAGAAAGTAGTGTTTGCAAATATCCAAGTAAATCTTGGTTTGCAGCGGACCTTCCTATCTGCTAAGGTGATTCAACTCCTCACGATTCAACCGTTTTGCTGTCATGCTCTTTTTGGAAAGCTCAGCAGACACTCAACAAATAAAAGTCCTCCCACTGCTTTCCAGTCTAAACGACATGTGGAACAACTCTGTGCAGTCTGCTAATATGGCGCACTAAATATCACTTGTAAAATATGTGTGACGCCTGGCTTAGGCAAATGGAAAATTACATTGTGATAGGCACTTGAATGCCATTGCCTCAAGACAAGCCAAAATACTTTTAGATGGCTTTCGCATAAATACATCCGTGAGCATATTGAGAATTACTTCGGCCTTCATTATTGAAAAAAAACTCCTTCCGGCATCCAACAGAATTAAATTTGTTTACAGGACTGCGATATAACACAACTTGCTTATCTTTAAGATCCGTGTACTAACGAAAATCAACGTCATGCCATCAACGCTAAGAACGCCACTTGACGTTGTAATTCTCGTAATTCTACTGGTGGTCAGAGCTTCTCTCATGGAGGTGATAGAATTGCAAATGAGCGAAGAATTACCTCCAAGGTCTGTGATCGTAGATCTACGATCACTCATTTCCAAAAGTAGAAAATTTCCGGACTTAAAAGCGTCACTTTTCAAATCGGTAGGACCTGCCGACATTGGAAATCGTCTTGTTGATGTAAGTCGTTAAGTCAGCTACCTCCGTACATCTAACATCAACTCCTCTCAAAAATTAATGCTCTCTATTGATGGTGATTAGTTTATGCTTTCATTTACTAGCTGTGACATGGTAGACACAGATTTATCTCCCATCCTATTACTTTACTACGGGTGTGGGATTAATCTATCATAAACGCTTTCGGTCATAAATTCTTAAGACGCATGAAATTGGAACGCGGAATTGTGACATTTCGATTGAAGAATTATTAGAACAGACTTAACGTTACTGAAACGAAATCTACAGAAAACAAAAATATTGTGAGGTGATGAATCCTCAACTCACGGCGTGGAATGTAGATATTGTCACTACAGCCTTGAAAATAGAATTTTCTCAAAAATTTTCAAGGAATTTAGTTTGATTAAAGTTGATTTATGCTAAATAAAAAAACGGTAGAAGCCAGTTAGATTTTATCACGCCACTTGGGAGCGTCTAGGACCTAAGATGGGATCACCTCTTCGATAATGTCTCTATGTCCCTTCACTTTTATTTCGCCCTTTCTCAATGCCTCACAATAAGTGGAGACATAAAAAGGTTGACTCCCAAACGTTACATTAGTAAGCGGGCTTATAATCAAAGCTTGAATGGCAAGCAGAAAAGTTAAGGTTTCATTTCCATCTTAGGTTACCCCAGAGGGTAAACTCGTGGTTTTGCAACGGATCGACCGAGAGCAGCTTTGCTCCCTTTATCCTATCCCTGTTCTGCCTGGTTCTCAATCGGATTTTGGGGATCTCCCATCAGGTACTTTCAGTCACTCCTCCCAACCAAGTCTTACAACAAGTCTTGCTAGTAAAGGCCAGTGTGTCATCACTCTCCGCGTGGCTGTCATGGGGAAGGGCGAAATGAGCGACCCATTTGACTTGTCTAACGTCTACCAAGTTCGTATAACTGTGCTCGATGTCAATGATCAGGCCCCCTTTTGGCCAGAAAACTTACAGCGCCATGTTATTGAATTCCGTGATGGTGATCCGGTTGGAAAACGACAGTCTCTTCCTCTTGCCATTGATTTAGATCAAGGAGAGAATGCTAGAATTTCTTATGTGATTGAACAAGACCCCCTTGATGAGCCTTCGTCTGAGGGATGGGATCCTCTGCCATTTAAACTGATCCATGACCAGTCTGATGGAAATCTATACCTTCAGACAGAGAGGGAGATTGATCATGAGGTGACTAGCTCGTACAAACTCGTTCTTAAGGCAACTGATGGAGTCGATAAAAGTCTACCTAATTCTTTGATCCCAGAACGCTTTCTTCGACAGCACACTTCCACTCTTGCTTTGACAGTTGTGGTGCAGGACATCAATGACAATGACCCAAGATTTACCCAACCGGTTTTTACGCCTGATCGTCCAGTGTCAGAAGCAACGCCAGTGGGCTCCATTGTGCTGAGATTAAAAGCAACTGATGCAGATTCCGATGAGAACGGCGCATTCCACTTTGCGTTTGCACCAAACGTCGGATGGAGGTCCATGGATAGTTTAGCTCAGCACCTTTTTGATGTGCGACCGAATGGCAATGTGGTTGTCCGACGTCCGCTGGATGTGGATCGACGTTGGAAACTAGTTGATGATTTGAAGAAGAGCTTTAACTCCGATTTATTTGGTGGAGACAACGCAAAAGGAATGGAATTCAGTTTCAAAGTGGTCGTGGTAGACGAGGCTGACTCAAGGTATGCTCGATCTTCCGAGGCCACAGTAAACATAGCGGTGATGGATGAGAACGACGAGGCTCCAGTCATTAGTGTTTTGCGACCTACTACTTCCGAAGAATGCATCAAGTCCTTGGGGAAGCCGACGGGAGTCACTGGTAGTCGATCCTCAGCTTCAACATCCTTTGCGTGTGTCTTTGAAAATGCACCCGTTGACACCTTTGTTGCCACCATTCAGGCAAGTGATTTCTGAACATAACAGTTATTTTTGTAGCTATCAAGTCGATCCCATCTTAGAAGTTCTAGCATTTTCACTTTGATTTCATTAACCATTTATGGAGGCAAATAGTATGACGGCTATTGCTGAATAAAGGTATGGGACCCTGTTTTGTAATAAACAAAATTACTCAGAAAAGGAAAAAATTTGTCACGAAAAGCAGATGGTTGTATGTGGTATGCACTTTAGTACTTATCTGTCACATAGGCCGAAAAGCCCTGGGGAGAGCTTGATAATAGCCCTACTAAAAGGCTGAAGTGGGCATGTATCCACAAAGGGACCTGGATCGTGTAGCGTTATACTGAGGGCAGCATAGTTCTTTCAGAGCACCCATGTCACCTATTTCGTAAGCAAGATGGTAATGGCAAGGAAGCTTTGAGGTGGATGTAAGACAGGCATTGTCATCTTTTTGCACATCATATCGCTTTTCTGTTACTGTAAGAAAGAGGCGTTTAGTCTTTTATGAAGTATGAATTTCGCGCCTTAAGTTTTCGGATTTCAAATTTTGGTAGCAGAACGACAGCGTACCCACCACTCAGAATACTTTATCAGCAACCAAATCTAAGCTAGTGTCTCGAACACACTGGGAAGCAAAATCTAGCATTTAGTGCTCGAGAAGAGCTTTTAATGTACTTTAGAAATTACGCCTCACGGAGACTCACCCATATCCGAAAGCTAAATGAGAATTAATTTTATATCAAGCAGTTTGGATTAAGTTTCTATTCGTACAAAATCCTCGTCAACCTAGAGACATCCACTTAACATGTACCTTCAAGTCTAGATAGGAATCAGTATGGCCTACTTAAAAGCCATAATTGGTCGAAAGACGCTGCTCTTGTGAATAAAAGAAATAAATCACAAAGATGACCAAACTACTACAGCCCGGTACTCCTCCCATTGTCAATAGATTAACATCTGATCTCTTTTACTAGAAGCTTAGTACAGAAAGGCAACAGTTGTCAGCCAGGTGGTTGCATAAATCTCACATACATCCCATTGCATCATACCTCACCCCTCATCACGCCACTCTGTTCCCCACAGAATGGGCCAAAGCTGTGGTTTTCAATGGCATCATTAATTATAGCCACACAGCAGTCCCCTACCTCCATATATGTGGGTGAGGCTTTCCCTCCGGAATCGGGAAGGCGCCGAGCCAGTAGTTTTCGTTTTTTCGTGACGCAGAAACCTTAACCAGCTGTATTAACATTTTTCCACGAAAATCTTCATTGCTTGTCGGACGTTAGCTCACGATGAATAATATGAATAAGTGAAGACCTAACTACAAGCATGCTTCTTACGAATATCTTTCTATAATTTAAGGTGAGTGACATGGACTTTTGCGGGGAGGACGAGCATGAATGTGTTTTAGACAACAAGAACTTCACATTGCTATCTGAAGAACACGCCAGCACACGACTACCTGCCAACCAACTAACCCATGCCTTTAATAACCAGGGTCTTAAGAGTTCTGGTGTATCCCAGTACGCAATCGTAACAGCTGTCACACTAGATCGAGAGACTACACCGTTTCAACAAATTCAGGTCCTCTGCAGTGATCGTGCAAACCATCAATCTGTGCACAACATTACTGTCCTAATAGGGGATATCAATGATCATAAACCACGATTCGTTCAGGCGGTAATGACCTATCAAGTGCTGGAGAATTCACCTCCTGGAACAATTCTGAAACCAATGACCGTCGGTCCTTTGAGGAATTCGGCGCCATTAGCCTCCGATGGAGATGTTGGGAAGAATGGAATTGTAAAATACAGCTTCATCGAGGGATCAAGAACTGCAGATAATTTTTCTATTGATCCCTTAACCGCTGTCATTTCTACTCGTAGTCGATTCGATCGAGAAGAGAACGGAAAGTATGTTTTTAGCATTTTAGCAGTAGATCAATCTGGTGGTGGAAATGCATTGACGGGTACTGGAACTGTGGAGGTTATGGTGCTAGATGTGAATGATAATCCACCCTCTTTTGTTCAAGAGACTTACACGTTTCAAATATCGGAGAACCTTCCCCGCGGAACTCGCGTCGGTCAGGTGACTGCTTTTGATCTTGACGATCAGGGTCCAGTCTTTTACTACCTTAGCAACGATTACGACGCTCTTGTCTTCCAGATAGATAGAGTATCGGGAGAGTTGTTTACTAGGAGACCTCTTGATCGTGAAGACCAGTCAAATTACACATTCAAGGTCCTTGTTCGCGATTTTACCATGTCTAATGGCGGCTTGGAGAAGAGGACTTTTACAGCTACCACTACGGTTACAGTTGTTCTGGAGGACGAAAATGACAATTCTCCAGTTTTTATTATTCCCAATGCCACTGCAAACACTCTGAACGTGGCAGTTTGTCAAACTCTTGGGCACAAACTTGCTGTTATAATTGCTGACGACGTTGATGAGGGTGATAATGGTCGCGTTACCTACAAAATAAAAGCGGGAAATTCTCTCAATCTCTTTAGCATTGATCCCCAGTCTGGTCTCCTTTTTTTGGCTGATTCGTTGTCACGCTTTAATGAAGTTGGTAACAACTCTTCTACTGACGAGGCTGCAGCAGCTAGCGCAATACAATTCTCCACACAACCAACAGTTCATGTGATCACACTAGAAGCTTGTGACAGTGGTGTGGAGCCTCGTTGCACCGTATCACCCAACCTCCGGATCCACGTGCAACCAGAGCGAAGGCACAGAACAGAAGGCGAGAGTGGTGGAGGTGGAAGTGTTGGGACTGTCGCAGAAGAACAAGAGAAATTTAGTTCTGATTCGCGGAGCCCTAACATGGCATTGCAGCATCCGGAAGGCGATGTAACTGCAGAATATGGAGGTCAATCGGATTGGAATGGCATCAAGGTCTCGTCAGTTTATGGTAATGCTGGTGGACTGAGAGGGTGGTCGAATGGTTCAAATGAGATAATAATCATTTGCATGTCCGTTCTCTTCGTGATCCTCCTGGTGGCTGTTCTCGCGTTAACATTACTTCTCCGCAATTGCAAGATAGGACCAGTCAAGCAAATGAGTGGTAAGCAAGTCGTGGTCTGTTTTAAACATTTCAGAATAAGTGGGGTGAGGCAGGGGACACTTAATCAACTAAGACCAATTCCAATTTCGAGCAAGCACGTTGTGTTAGAAAAAGAAACTCATTCTACCCGATAATTACCATATAAAAGGTTTGAAACAGAGCATAAATCTTTCCACTATCTGGGAGAGCCTGTTGAGAGCCTATCGAAAGCAAATCCTTAAACTGCAACATGAATTAGGTGATTAACATGCCCAAACTTTTGGCTTACCAAACAACTTCAGTTGTTGCGCAGATTTTGACATCTTTAAACTTAATAATGAAACTCTTCGAGAACACCCCTGCCACCATTTACACTCGACTTCATACGAGAAAGACTTCGCGTTTAAGGATGCATTATTTGTTAGCAAGCATTTTAGCGCCGCTAGAGATCAACTTTTACTTAGTATCTTAGCGCAGAATACACTCATGCTTCTATAGTGTCGGCCACACAAAGAAGTCTGTGTCGTTCTAAGACGCCAACCTACCTTGGTACCATTCCATCATCGCAATCTGGTGTAGAGGGGGCTGAACCCGTAATAGGCGCATTCAATTCTCCACCTCCTCACCAACTCCAGCCATCACTTGGAGTTGGAGTTGACGAGGCATCTGGTGGTGTAATTCAAAGTCAGTCCGAAATGATCCTATGTCGAAGGGCCGGTGGAAGTACGCTTCCGCAGAGTCACTCCTTCTTCGAAATGCCCAAATCACTGACTCAGGAGTTCACTACCTTTGTACCGGCTAGTCTAGACGGATACCAAGGTGGGTGCAAGAAACAAGCCAGTACTGCAAGAAGCGCAGACCTTCTGCTACCCATAAAGTACGCTCGGATACCAAATAACAAGGAGGTAATTGAAGAGCTTTTTTAACGGAATAGAAGACAGAGAAAATGTGAGTGGTTAAACGTCTTTGTCCTTTTTTTAGATTACCTCACAAGGCCAGTCTGTAGGCACAATTTTTGTCGGTCATCCTTATGCGGTGTCTAGGAATGATGCCGTCTGTTATGGTAAGCGAGAGTAGATAGGAGTGATCCTACTGCTAGTTTAGCCCCATTGTTCTGAGGGTTTTTAACTACGCCCCTGAGGACTTCCATCAGGTGCACTCTACACGTCATTACTTTTGTTTTATGGTGACCCCAAGCATTTTTGCTAAAATACAACCATACAGTCAGACATACTTTTATGTATTCAACCGCAATTTTTAAAATAAAATAAATGGCCAAAAGACAGGAACATCAAATATTGGGAAGCCGACAAACTAGCTGCATGTAGTAGTACATTTGGAACGGATAATACGGAAAATAATCCCGACTTGCACATTGAATGACGTGTTGTTTAGGTTCTAACGCCAGTGTCTACACTTTATAACAATTCCGTGCCTATCACTAGTCATCCAGCTCAAGGGCTGGCAACGATTGAATTTAAGTCAAAATTAGATCCCTTTGCCAGTGCAGGGAGGCGAAGGACAGAAACAGAATGAGGAATAACCACAGCCTTAAACCAATTAGGCAACAAAGGCTAAAATTTTTTCTCCAGACAACGACAACATTGTGGCATAGGCGAATTAAGAAGCCTTCATACGCATCATTCTCGTGAAAACACTTTGTCCTTACTTTTAGTAAATAGACACTTGTGTTAGCGACAGAGCAACAGCCCAGAGTGACTGTGAATGTGCTTATGTACATGAAAGTCACGCAAGCAGTTGGTATTTATGGGCAGAGAGGAAGACCGAACTCCATTCCTCTCAGTCCTTCAATCTCCCAAACCCCTCCATCCTCTCTCAAAAAACAGTAGTAGTCTATTATGAATGCGTGTTTTTGGAGAACTACGCATGTGTATTGAGCGAGACTTCGGCTCAAATGCTATCAAGGCAATGGAAGAGTTAAAGAGTTTCAGCGTGTCCTCCATCCTCGCTTCTTTCTGATCTGCGGCTACTTTAAGATTTCGACATAAAACCAGCCAATGCACCAAACTCATATGAGTTCATGGCTTCTGTTTTTGGCATTCACAAAGTATCAGACAATCATGGTTTCAAAGGAGTCATCCAACTTTCGGTTGAAGTGACAGTTTCGAGTGCAAATGTCGTGCGATTCAATGTGTATCGAATTGCAGTACGTGTGGAAGGCTCTTTACTGTTTAAATAGTCCACGTGGCTGTTTCAACTTCGATTGCTGTATTCATGCTTTTTCCTGCATTGCTCCATCTTCTTTGCCAAAAATAATTGCCAAAGTGAATCCATACCAAAGTGAATACCCTCTCTGCTGTTTTTCATGAACTTCCACATATTTCACTGCACAATTGAGGTAATACTGGGAGAGGCTTGTACTGTTCGGTGAAACCTTTAACGCCAAATCCGCCAAAAGACAGCTTTTCCAAACCATTACGCTTATGCGATGTTTTATGTGTTAGTTTACCAAAACTCTGCAACAAATTGCAATTTATTTATTCTATGTCCGAACTTGACTAAAACAGCCAAGTTTATGAAGAGAAGGGGTTTTTACGAAAAGTGAACAAGCAGCACTTGGTGATTTCTGTCACTACATTTCGAAACATCCTCTTCAAATGATGCACTGGAAAATCACCGAATTCTGCATTGATTTTACTCTGCTTGACAGGTACACTTACTCTTCTACTAGGCAAAATGTGAAATACGTCTACAGCCCGTTGGTCCATCCAGGGTGATTTTTTGACATCGACATAATTAGTGGTCACAGGCGTACTCACACAAGCTATCCCAAACATCATTTGTTGAAAAAGTCCGTCAACGATTTGAGGAACGGTCTAATTAGATCTGTAAATCCTTCTTGCCTTGTTCGTTGGGCTCCTTAGTAGACAGTCGCGATCTAATTTTGCACGTAGACATTACTATAGTCAGGACCACTACAACAGCTTACCTTTTTTAGTGAATTCACTCTCTCCTACGAGAGACCTACAAAACAAGTTGCCACTCCGTCGCAACCTTATAACGCAAAAACTAAAGTGGTAATACCTGAACTGGACGTTGACTACTGGGATACATGGATCATTGTAGCAAAAAAAATTCACCAAAAATACTAAGATTTTTCAGACTTGATTTACCATCCTTGAGTTACGTTCTTCTGTAGGTATATCTCTGCCATCAAAACAGATGGCCACACCTTTGCCGGAGCGTGATTTAGCATGAATTGTTTTTGAGGCTAGTGAAAAGAAATATCGTCTTTATTGGCGGAAATCAGGATTTACTTGTTTCTAAAGTACCTCTAATCGGATGAATAGCATAGCATTGTATAAAATATCGCACAGAGGAGAATGGTTCATCCCATACACACTGAAAGTTTCAATGTGACATATTGAAAGTGCATTGAGAATCCTTCCAATTGATTGCAATCTCACCACGCACTCCGATGAAAAAGAACTCATTATGATGGTACAAATGATCTTTCTCCCTCTTCAAATTATGGTTAGGAACAAGGAAAATGGGAGAGGAGGTTCAAAAGAAAATCATGTTTCCGTGTCCCATCGCGTCTTCTAACAAAATCTTGATCCTTCAAATAGCTTTACAATGTCTTCCATTATCGCATCCCACTCAACTTATTTAATAAGATTAGTTTACAGGTTCAGTGATTCTACCTTTTAACCCTCTCTTTATGTCCCTATTTTTAGTGGATGAATAAACGGGTAGAGATTTCGTATCTTAGGTTCACATTTTATAACTTTTATTCCCTGAATAGTTGCTACCAGCGCCCGTTAGTGATGTTGCTTGAACATTGACATCGAAAATGTTTACAGAAAAGACCAACATAAGTCCGTAAAAATAAGGTTAGTTGGTCTACATTGAAAATCAAATCCAATAGGAAAGTTAGCACTACAAAGATTAACTATAACGCTCTAAGTTGTTTGAGCCATTTAGGCTGTTACTTCAATTGAGCTTGAACCGGTTCATAGGCCATTTATTTGAATATAGCGTTTATCATTGGAATTTCGGCACCTAAAAAGAAATGAAATACTACAACGAAGCATCAATTAGACAAAGCTGATAGGCGACGCAGTTAAAGGCATAAGATAGATAGCGTTGATGTGCTTAAACCAAAACAGAATGACATTCCTCCTGTTCGCCAGATAAATGGCGAACTTGATGAAAGAGAATAAAGTTTACACTGCTGAAGTGATCAGTGATGCGAAAATTTACAATTCGTAAAAGTTGTCAGACTCTCATTGAGGCAATAAAAAGTGAACATGAGAACGCTGCTCTGAAGGAGGACTCAAATCGTTGCCCCACAAATCGACCATGCATATGATTTTATTTAGAAGAGGGTTGAACGGAGTTTTCATTCCTCCTATTTAGGAGAATATCAAGCGTTGCAAGCCACCGGTTTGTATACGCTGGAGAAAAGCTCCGAGAGCCAACAAAACCAAATTCTTGGGCAGAGCGATCAACCAACTCAGGTGATAACCTTTGGACAGAATATCTCCTGCATGCCTCGATTTCTTACTTCCGGAGGTCGTGCAAGACCACAGGGCGATGATAGTTTTTCAATGCAATGCGTTGCTGATTGTCATCCACAAGTCGCCTACACCTTTGACCGTTACGTAGGGTTGACAACTAACCAAAGCTTTCCAACAAATACCGTCGATCTCCACCTCTTTGACCAACAACAACAGCAGCAACCTAACGGACCCAGAGCACAAAGATTGTACGTTCGCAATTTCCCTCGCTCCAAATCGGCACACACTGTGGCGGTGTTAGCGACTAGCAAGTCGACCAAGGGCGGTGGGGAGAGTTCTGAGGGTGGAGTTATCAAGACTACTGACAACTGTGGCGAGGAGAGTATGGTGTTTTTGTTGCCGGAAAAAGAGGATCTTTTGGAAATAGGTGAACCTCTATCTTTCACCGAGGAGCGTTCTGATGGCTTTCCATCCTCGGAGGGGCAACAACGGCTGAGTAGCGCAAGCGGCAGCAAATTAGTCGCGTTAGCTTATCGAGAAGCCAGTTTCGTTTAAGCTAGCAGTGAATGAACTCAGACGATGTGTTTCGTGCATTATCCATCTTCTTTTGTATTGATAATATGTATTTGTGCAATTGAAAGACTCCTCCATTGCAAATTGTGAAATTTTTGTTGATATTGAATTCTGCAATGGTAAAATAAAGTCTTGAACATTAGAAAAATGCGATAGGGCTGTTCAAGTAGTGGGAAATTTTATTTAGACTCCAAGTAATGAGGGCTGGTGAACTTTGAACTAGAGCTAATGAGTCCCTCAAGTACTGTTTTAGAAGTAGTGTCATTTTTAGGGGTACACCATGTGAGTGCAAGTTAACACTTGGGGGGTTAAATATTTTTAATGGTACATACGGGCACACCCATGCAAAATTGATGCAGTGGCTCAAGCAAGATAGAGGACCTCCGCTTTGAAGGCAGCCAAGCTCAAAATGCCTGCTTGAAGTTATGGGGCAAATTAGGCTCTAGAAGGTTTTGCAATCTTTGAAGTGGATGACCGCGCTAGGCGACCTTTGTATCGGCTTGTCGTCAGATAAATGAAACTTTTAAGGACTAGGAACCTTCGAAGTTCCAGCCTATAAGGACTGCAGTCATTGACTTTCGTTTTGCAAATCCCCTTGGTGCTCTGAAACATCATTAGATGATGGCTAAAATCTGAAGAATGAGTTTTAGCTAGGTTTTCGAAGATTAGCTTGATGTTTTAACGCTCAAAGATTTTAAAAAGTTTAAAATATTAGATTTGTCGTTTTGTTTGCAAAGCCACTTGAGGCTTCTACCTAAAATAATGTCCACTAAACCCACTCGAAGCTAGAGGTGCTACGCTTCAAGAGGCATTCTTTGTCAAACATTGAAAATCGTGTGTCGGTGTAAACAAGCAGGCTTTCATTATGCTTAGTTGCATTATTTCTAGTCCGTAGACTCCTTGCAGTCTAACTTTATTAAAACGGCACCTCTATTCCAGCATTCACGGAGGGAAGCAAACACTTTTGATCCATAAAACTGGAAACCCATTCACAGTACAAAATCTCAAGGTGGTGAGGCCTGCCATAATTATGCTGGAATGTGGATCCAAATGCTTGCTTTCTGAGATCTAGATAATGATAGGAGCTAAAGCTTATCCACTTGGGTTCATTCGAGCAGCTAGAAGAAAGTACTCTCCGATACGTGAGCTAAAAAGTGGGACCTTCTACCTCCCACTTCTTTGAGTGCAACCCATCTTGATCAAAAAAACTGTATATAAACCGAAATAATCATTAATTTAATAAGTCCACATGACCATTTTAACCATGGTTACACTCAAAGATAGTAGGAATTCCTGATTAAAGGTGGGTTGTTTTTAAACAGTAAGGATTTTGGAGGATGACTTTATGCTTGCGTTTATAGGTAATGCCACAATTTGAATGGAATGCAGTCATCATCCTTTTCCATAGATATAATAAATGTTAGTTCCTTTTATATTCACTCCTAAAGTTTCTTACATAGGTGTAAGTAAAGGTGATGCGAGAAATGCTCACCAATCAAAATTTTAATACGTTTCATTATAGTAGCCTTAAATCATTGTTAAAGTTGAATGAATGGAACTTGTATAGGATCTTAGAGACTACCGAAGGGAATTGGAGGTCATGAAAAGCAATGAAAGTAAAAGTATGGAGATTAGAAGAATTCAGAAATCAGCTAATTAACTTCGGCAAGCAAACTAGGGTATCACAACTTCTTACTCCTCTTTTGCACGTCAGTCATAACCCTGTTCTTTGTTTACTAAAAACTGTATGAAGTGGTGGCCTCAGTAACTGGATTCAGGTGTATCGCAGTCGATTTTAAGTCACAGCATTGCTGTGGCAACTGTATTGGAAATGGTGAAAGACAGTGCTGAACATTTAGTGTGTTCTAAGACGGTGGCTTGGAGTGAGTCAGCCTTTAACGTACCTAAATGAAAAGCGGGTTTAGTGCTGTGTCAGCCCTAGAACATGGTTCTCAGTTCATTACTCTCTGTCACATAAATGCGTCCCATGTTTGGTTACTTAGAGGGGTGGGGATGAGAGTGCCGGTTTATATTATTGGCATCATCATATAGTTATCAAAGACAACTCTGGATTGCAGCTCTAGCTAATGTTCTTCGCTTCATCTGTTAACAGCACTTTTGACAAAATATTTTAAAGACATTTTATTAAAGCTGTCATGACGTCATTCTAAAGTTTAGCATTCCGTAAGCAGAATCATGGTACATGTCCATGTGATTGGGCTCGTTTTTTGCTTCCATCAATGGGGAGCCCGAGCCATTCCTGGATCTGAAAGGAGCCACAGAATAAGAGCAGAAAATGCACTGCTGATGTAGGAGAAGGGTGAGGAACCCTGGTATCTTCGAAAACCATGCTTTCCGGACGAAAGTACGATCTGCAAACTCAGTTACAGTTTTAATAATCATTCTGTATCTCACTCTGGCAGATTTGAGGAAATTGTACCATGAGACAATCCATCAAACCATTAAGTGTGAACGAAGGACGCGGGAGAACCAATCATCTTTAACACAGTGGGGTAAGATAAGCCTTTACAAAAATTCAGCTGGTGCTGCTCTACATTTGTAGCAATAATAGGTACGCAACTCTATAAGTGAAAAAGTTTTGCTTAAAATGTCTCATAGACAAGGACAAAACTTGACTTTCCATGCATGTGACCGACCTAAAATTAGTGCATCAATCTAAACTTCTTGCTTTTGCCCACAGTAAAACAGTTATATAAAAAGTAAGACCACAAGAAGTTCTTTGACATACAGATGGAGTTATAAAGTTTGCCAAACAATAACGAAATAAAAAATGTGCGCTACCTAAAGTCGTCACAGAATAACAACCGGCTGTGGTCGGTATCGCATTAAGGCTTGTCTTAATTGGTTATATGACTGGCGTTACAAATGGTTTACGAGGGAATTTTTAAGAACAGATAAGCCATTATCACTTGGTTCTTAGGAAAAAATCGTCTACAAGGAAAATCCAGCTCGCAAAACTCCTCAAAAATCAAAACTCTGGACTGATGTACGCCAGCCTTCCGTCGAAGAGAAACGCAAATGTTAGTGAGTAAAATTGCGACCTTAACAAATAATAGTACAGAATTGATCTGGACTGTTTAAGTACAGCAGAGCGCATTTTATGGAAAATACCAGGGTCGAATAAACTCACCAATAAATCCAGTAAAATCGAACCATTTTATGAATGACAAAATTACACTTTTTTCCTCTCTTCTTAAAATCAAACATTTATTTGCTAACCCATAAGAGTCTCTCACCACTTCCTCTCCTCTTAACTTTTAATGAGTGGGACAGAGAGGAGAGGGGTCATAGGTGGGGCGGCGGCCAATAAAGGGAGTAATTAACTTCTGTTGGAACAGAACACCCAGTGCGAATCTTTTTTCCTGTGCGTATTTTCTTCGGAGAAAGCGAGTGGTGAAGAGTGTGGTAGGATGAAGTGGAAGAAAGAAAAAGTATTTTCAGGAGCTGCATTAATAATGTCACTTTGGGCAGGAGTCGTTTGCCCCAAGTGGTACTGCATTCTGCCTTAATATTGTATGATCTGGGGATAGTTTGCTGAATTCGGTGGTTGCCGGTATAAATTATGTAGAACTGGTGTAAAAGGTGGGAAAAAGAGGCTGACCTCTCGGCCGATAGCAAATATTTTAGATTCCTCAAAGGAACCGAACCAAACGTGAAAGGCCTGCTGATATTTAAACATCAAGAAAAATTCGTAGAAGACTAACCATAAAGTTCAAGGTTATCTCATAAACAAAGTTTAAATGTTTTAAAAGCAAAAGCAAATTTATTTCAATCGGAAACCGTGCTTGAGGGCTTGAAAACAATCTGCGGCTGGAAGTAAAGTGCCTCACAGTCTATAAAATTAATGGCATTTTTTATATTTCAAAAATAGCAGGACATGAAAAATGGAAGACTAAAACTAAGTCCATGGAAAAAGGCAAATTTTTCGTGTTGAAAATGACTTCGATTTATACCTTGTAGCCCTCCAAAAATAAGCAAATGTCGGATGAGTATTTTTCAGCTTTCCGCCACCTAAGGTTGTACAAATCGTGGATCTCGGTGGGTTTTAAAACAGGCATCCATAACCATAGGTATTCAGGTCCTTTCTTTCTCTTGAGAAATAGTCTATACTAATTGTCACTGCAGTCTGTAGCAATACTTAGTAGGTGGACGGTTTTTTCTTAATTAATTGAGGTAGAAGATTCCATCTGTCAGATGAGATTTGCAGTGCCACGAGCGGACAACTACACCAAGAACCGGAGATTAGCGAGGTTAGGTTCATGCTGAGGTGCTAGCAACCCATGGACATCAATGAGTCAGATTAAAAGTGAAAATTGGCTTAGTGACTGTCGTTTTGTTTGTTTTTAACTTTATCATTAATCTTTTACTGCTAAGCCTTTAAATATGCCACAGTTCCAATACGGAAATTGTAATAAAGAACCTATCGTTACAGACTAAATAATGCAGTTTGAAGTGGTCAATTCATTTGCTACTCAAGGCCTAAATTCATTCGTTTCTCCTCAAGCTATAAATTTATTCGCCCGTTTGATTGTTTAAACTCTGACTGATCTGGCAATGTTTAATTTTATTTATTTTAACCCATAATTGGAAAAGCGAAGCATTGCGTCGTCCCATCTTTCCTGAGCGCTGCTACCAACGCTAATCAAATGCCATTACGGCGTAGATGGTGGTGAGAAAAATAATTGTTTACAAGCCACCTATGACATTCATCGGATTTACATACAACCAAGACTACATTCAACCAGCATCGCTGACTTCTCTCAATGTTTCTACTGCTTTAGGCTCCCGTTCTATTAAGGAGATGTTTTATTTGGGAAGAGGGGCAGAATATGCTGACTCCCAAGCTTGTCCACCACTAATCATGAAATCATCATCATATAAAAGACAAAGTTGAAGGCATTTTGTGGATCTAAGATTAGCTTTGTTCATATATCAGTGCTATTTAAATATGTTCATCCAATATGGGTTCTACTTATGCACCAGAGTTACCTTGAGTTTCATAACCGACAACATTTTACGAGCGCAGTAGACTGATCCGAAATGAATTTTTCCCGATGATCCAGATTTTCGACTTCTGTAGACCTCGAGACTGCTAAAGTATCCGCTAACGCTGTTATTGCATTGTGCAAAGGTTTAGCAACTATTTGACAAACTCTGGATGACCGTCCTTAGCTAAAGTATTTGATTTCTCTTATTACCTACGCAGCGTCCCTAGACACTTCTGAAAGTGAAGGATTGCCGCAGATGACAAGTCCCACTTCATAAACGCCATTTGGGAGACTTGGGTGCCTCGTAAACCCAACTTAGCGCTGCAATAACGATTGTGAAAAATCTTTTTATATAAAATCAATGAAGTATAGACTGCAAACTGAGTTGAAATAATTAAAACAAAGCGTTTATATGAGGAGATCAGAATTTTATTTGCACTCTCGTGCATACAAATCCCAATTTAAATTAGGCTTAACAATGGAAAGATCTCACCGACCAATTGAAGACATGCAGGACTTTGCATCTTCGGAAGTCACTCTAAATATTGACACAACTTTTTCAACACTTGTAAGATTTCAGTTTTGTCAACGAAATTAGACTTGACGTGAGCCGCTATTTCTATGCCTATACAAGATGGACCATCCGAAAAAAAGCATGGGTAGATTGGCAAAAGTTGTTTACGGCGTATATCTCTTCTAAGCATTTCTTAAGTACGTAGCCAAGATGTCTTTGTGGGCTCCTCTCTGCCTGGTACAAATGTGGATTAACCAAATAATAAATTTGGGCCATGAAAGACAATGCTTTCCAAACCTTAAGTGAGGGCAAATGAAGCCATAATACCAAAACACAAGCGCATTTTCAGCATTAAAATTGCCCAAGAACAGAGCCATAGACACCACCCGAGAACTTGCCATGACAGAAAAAGATAAAACTTCTGCTTTATGGTTACGAAAATTAAAACAGAGAACTATATAAGCGAAGTATTTAATGACATCTTATGCAGCACTCGCTTCGGCCATTGTCCAATGGGACCCCCATCAAAGCGGTTTGTACTGTGAGGAAACCGCCCATAAATCACCTACTCTAAATTCCGGCATTTGCGTCCTGCCGAGAAGGCTTCAGAGTCTAAACATCGCGTGGGAAATTCTGCTAGATCTGAAAACTTTAAGCAACGGAGGCCTGAAGCGAGGCAAAGGGTGTTGTATTTTATCCAGCAATTTCTTTACTAGTTTCTAAAACGTTAGAATGAAAGCAGTTATTTAATAATAGTGGTTTCTTAAGACTACGGTTCAGCACCCATCACCTCTCACTAATTTGTTATAATTTCATTGTTTCCTCACCATATCTACCTGTCTGGGCCAAAGCTTGCCGTTTCCATAACATCACATGAAACAGAGGCAGCTGCAGAAGTGGACGTCACCTTAAGTCTCCTACTAAAAATTGTCATAGATTCTCTTATCGAAAATCTGCGTAATTTAGACGACCAGCCTTTGGAATCAAATCCGCATTTTGCTGCCACCGAGTTAGAGCCTCGAGACTTTCCGAAAGGTAAAACTAGTTATAATAAGGGATCAGAAAATACACTTGAAGGGCACAGAAGGGCTAAAGAGGCTTCCTGTTTTTGAGCTGAAGTTTAATGACGGCGATATAAGGGCAAGAGTATTCCAAACGCCCGGTCATACAAGGTATATAATAAATGATGTTGACTTTTAAGATGTCGATTGTTGGTTTGTAGATTGTTTAGGCCCGATTGCAGGGACAGCATGGCCCCATTGTGTGGCTTTGATGGCACTAAATGGCTAAATGGCAGTGAAACTTGTCTCAAGTTTAGTGTATAAGATGACGCAGATTTTCAGAAAAGGTCATTGCATTCAGAATTTTCATTGCGGTAGAAAGACTATTTCCAATCTTTTATTAGCAAAACCTGACCAACCAACCAAATTAATTTGAAGTCACTAGGCTTGATAGGAAATGAATATATTGCATGATTCACATCTTCATTGCAGAGTGAAGATAGTTATCAAACAAACTCCGCTTATTCCCTAGGACTTAATTAGCTCTGCCATGCTAAAGCCGAATTTTATTGCCTACGGATACTTTTGTGTTTCAGTTTTAATCCTATTAGCATCAATGAATTCTTTTGTTCCGAATAACTCCCTCTCGGACTAATAATGGGTGTCAAAAACAAGCTAAGGAATGTAAACATTTGGTAGACTTAGTAAGCATGAAGGAAACAATCTTTGCAGGAAGGAGGCAGGGAAAGAGAGTCACAAGTATTCTTTCATTTGTCTTGATCTGATTGGTTATCCCATAACGCAAAGCCACTGGCCTCCAAAACAAGAAGTTGGAAAGCGCCAGTAAATTAATTTCCGCTTTCCATCTTCTGCTCCACAGTGCAGATCTTATTTGCAACTCATGAGAAGTAGCACTTGCCTTGCGACCTTCAAAACAGCTACTTGGACGTCAAGATTGCACGCACTTGTGACAGCATTAATGAGAATTCATAGACCGCCAAGTAAAAGTGATGACGATATTTAAATTTTAGTCACAAAAGAGCATTTATTATATGCCTTACAAAAAATTGTGCACATTGTTCTAATGTTGTTAAAGAAAAGCTCCAAAGAAGGCGATATTCAAATATTTAGATTAAAGACGCTTAAACGTTCTTTTTGTAAGGGAAAAATAACACGGAGGTGGAAACTCGTTACCTTCCTCGATCATTTTGATTTTGTCAAGGCTTTAGGGTAGTAGAGAGAGGGAAGATTATTTAGGAGGAGAGTGTTGACGTACCTCTCAAACGAATGTGCTTCACTAATCCGATTTAATGTGATCGGTGTCGGATGGAGTTAATCTTATGTTCTTCGAATGAGGGTTAAATGGCGCATGACTGAGGCAAGGCAGACTAACTTGATTTTCAGCAAAGGTACTCTTCTCTTTCATGTGGATAATGAAATACTACAATTAGCATTTAAATTCACTGATAGAGGATTGAAGCTACCTAGTCATGGAGGACCATGCTTTTATCAGAGCTTGACTGGCATTAGGGCAACGTGATAACTACCCTTAAGCTGGACAAAAACGTGGCACAGCTCTCAAAAAATAGTCATAAGTTCTCCAAACCTTGATCACTCTTTAAGTGATGCAATGACATGGAAGGTGAAGGCATTGCTGTATCCTTTAGCTGCTTAAAAAATCGTCCAAAGAAGCGCACAACTTTAGCAGATAATTTTTTACGCTGGAAATGTAACGTTAGTTCCTTTATAATAAACGTTCTATAAAAATTAGTCTGGCACCTCCTCATCCTTCTCCATACATAGTGTCAAGACAGCTGAATGAGGTCGCCTATTAACATCAAATCCCAGTAATGAAAAACGCAAGCAACTAACAAAGCAAATTCCACTCTCTTTATCAACAAACATGCTACCCTCCATCCATTTAGACTAAAGGCGTGCTTAGAGAAGTGTTGATCAACAATGAATTGCTAAACTTCCTTGTCCGGAAAAGTACTGCGGTGTGACAGGCTGGAAAGTGTTCCAATTAACGCAAATTCGAAGTCGTTTTTCAACTCGTTTGCCGTGTCTACCGATAGTTTTGGAGGTTTGAAAATTTTGGAGGTAAAGTCTGAAAACCACATACAACCTTTTCTCTCTCACTCGAGCCGTTTTCTCTTCCTCTGATGAAATTTTTAGGGAAGATTAGCAGATTTCGATGTCATTAATGCGTAAATGCAGTGAGTGCTTTAAGTTCCAAAACTGGTGCGTAAAACTGCTGAGCTTTAACGTGGAGAGGATTAACTTACTATGTTTCTGGCTCGCCGATTATGAATGAACTTGCAATGGCTTGAAACATGCAAAGTTTTGTTAGCAATCGTTCCAGCCATTTAAGCATACGAGCAGCTGAACAGACTCAAGAAGTCATGATGATGTACGAAGCATTAGACTGTGATACTAGCAAAAACGTGTTTCCTAACAAAGTCATTCCACTTTCCAGGTATAGACAGGACATAAGTAACTAGGATATACTCTAAAGTAAATATGAACTTTAAATGAAGGGTATCCAATCCAAACTAGCTGAAGCCTTTTGATAACATTTGGCTGGGAGATTTTTCTACCGGGAACCTTGCACTATTTACTTGTGGTGCACAAAAAGCATATGAAATACGAGATTACCATGATAGTATTGTCTGGGAAAGTCATATTTCCGCTTTTAATATACCATAGGAATTTGACCTCCGATTTAAATACTTTCAAACCGCCCACGTGTTATTTGCAAATGCACCCAAATGCTAACCACTAGAGGATATTCGAGACTCATTTCCCATTCCTTATGGAAATGTAAGCGTATCTGTACTGCTTTAACAACATGACCTTTGTATTGCCATACAAAAAAGCACAGTCAGACAAATTGGTCTCTTTCAAAATTCCACCTACCTCATCACTAACTGAAGGCGTACATCCACTGGTAATTAAAACTAGCACTGGTAAAAAACGACATCGATCAAGGCGAATGCCGTAGTCGTTATATTTGCAACAGAGTTAATCTTCGTGTTCGAAACACCAACCGCCCAATTACTTCAGATTTTATCATCTCTTGACTAGTTAGTACCATTGTATTTGTTAGAAAGGGGTTTAATTTTACCTCTTGACTGAGAGGAAGGAGGAGCAGTTGGTCTATCGTGTTATTAGTTCCTCAGCGCCAATTATGAGAAACATGGACTACGCACTCAATTTGGATTAGAAATGACGGAGCTTTCAAAATTCCCTGAAATCTCTTGAAACCAAATTCTTTTGAATAAAGAGCGAAAATTGTACGGGGTAATTGTGCGTAGGTAAACTTCCAAATGTTTGCGCGCGGGGTGTTTCAATATCTCTTTGCCTTCACTTCAGCTACACAAAACACATTTTAATTTCCTTCTTCGAGGGCAACTTTGATGTAAGGAGCTAAAGAGATGTGCCATGTTTCATGCTGGGATCTATCTTGTACCAGAGATCCGCCTTTTCTCGAAGACAGTTTGCACAGTCTCGAACTATTTGCCCATTCTGCTTGCACCGATCAATGCGCAAATGCAAGTCACCTACAAGGTGAAAAATAAAAACTTTACCATTCCTTCTTAATGGATGACGAATTGTGGTGCATTTTTGTTCAACTAACTCTAAAGCTAAAACGCAAAGTTTTTACAACAGCCCTTCAGGCTAAGTTAATTGCCTAATCTGCCTCAATGTCATATTTTCGTTCGAATTTGAGAAATCCTCCTAAGGATTAAGGGCAGCCACCTTGATCTCGATTGATGGATGTTATATCTTGACGTGAAAAGTAGTAAATGCTGTAAATGGGAGGAGACGTGGCGATATATGCCAGAAGGGTCAAAATAGAGGTCTAACTTTGGCAATCATACCAGTTTTGTGTCCTGTAGGAATGACATGAATACCAGCCGCGGCCTTAGAATATCTGGAGCCATTTGCTGCAAAGAGGTTTATGGTAGTGGTATAATGCTGTTGAATAAGTAGACATAACATACTTCCTCCCTCTGATAGCTAGATTATAACCAGATAGATAATGATTAAGCGGGAGTGAAGTAAAACCAAAGCTAAAAAATGGAATTGATGCAATACTTAAGCTAGCGTTTTTTTACGGCTAGTGACAAATATTCGATGGGATCATCCAGGATGCCCTTCTCCTAAACAGTTTTCGACCGGATTGGAACTTAATATTCGCTGAAAGCAACGGTACTAGCAAGCACCTTCTTTGCCGCAAGCGAATTGGGTGCTTAGAGCAGCCAATTAAGCGTGCTGTTCATGCAACATCGAGCACGTTTGGATGGCTTGCGCAGGGGGTTTACTTAGGATGGTAATGTAGCCACTATCTCCAGCCTTAATATCATGATTTATTTTGTCTTCAGGGAAGGCTAGCGTTCCGTTCCATTGCGCCTATATCATCAACCGTTTTTAACAGCAGCAACCAACAACAGTAACGACCACACATGTCAGGTTCATTGACAGGGCATCATCATGATTTGTGCCTTTCATTGACTCACTCGCACACTCGAACGCCACCTTTCATGACAATAGTGCACTTTAAAATCTCATGAGGCACTTGTGATTAAAGATGGGGCTGGCAGCACATGCAAGAAGGGAAAGAGGGCAAACGATAAATGCCAATCTGAAGTTTATATGAGAACTTATGGCAAATCTTCTGTAAAAAATAACTAAATACGACAGACCAATTAATTGATTAAGTTATGACACGTTTGCTTGAAGCAGGACTTTACAATTTTCGAGGTCATTCTGGAATGGGCAGGCTAAAATAAATATTCGAAGCAGTTTATTTTTAAAAAATTCTACTGTCTACAGATAAGATAAGATAAGACAGATGTTAAGAAAATCCATTAAGCATTTGAAAAAAATTAAAAGCAAATCGGAATCTCAGATTACTTAAAAGAGGCAATGGAGGAGTCGTCACAATGGTATTCCAACCTTTGATTAACAAAGATCCACCTATTTGGTTATTTAAGCCTGGCCAGGATCAGAATCAGCTATCTACTCATACATTAGAATTTGAGGTATTCTGAACAAAGCAGTCATTTTTCCTCGCATTTTGCAAAGGGAGTCATCGATAGCTGTGGTTGTGTACCCTCGTACTTACACGAAACAAATTCTAGCAATTTCAGTTCAGCGTCTCTAACGTAAGGAAGTTCTGTATTCTGTTGGGAAAATTGGAAACAGCCATGATCCTTTGTCCTAACAATAGCCGTTCAATATTTTTTTAGCTTATGATTTCTTACAATCTTCAAGTAGCTGCTGAGCCCTTATGTCAGCAGATATTTTACTTGGGGTCTGTGAACAGACTACTTATGCATTAAAAGTCGGCAACCAGAGAAAGATCTTTCAAGCCAAGCTGTATAATACGGTCAAAAGTTTATTTTAAAAGGATTACAAAACCTAAGTTTCCTTTTTTACCGCATCCATTTACAAACATAGCATTGTAACGAATAAGTTGGGCAAATGTGTATACCTTTTACCCCTTTCCCACGGTTCCATTTAACACATTCGGCCGTGGCAGAAATACTGCCGCTTCAAGGGACTTTCAACTAACGCAAGAACATGTTTCATTATTTACAATGAAACAAAAGTACCTATCACATGTGATTTTAGGTAAGTAGGACAAAAGATCCGAACTCCACGAAAACGAAAGCCTTATGTCGCAAGTTAATGAGGAGCATTTTATACCTAATTCCGGTTCACAAAATAATAATGGCTTTAATTTACGCTATCTGACGGTGTCGCAAGTCGTTTTTGTCCGAATAAGCCGAGAAAAATTTTGAGTCGCCAATAATAAGGTTGGGAAAATCCTTAGGGCAGGGAAGGCGAGAGAGGAGAGTGAAAGCCACGTTATGCATCGACGCTTTACAACATGATACAACTGCTTCAAAGAGTAGGGTGGAGGAGAGGAGTAAGGGATTCACTATTATTTTATTTTATGCAGCTTCTTTATCTATGGCTTTTTCTGGTTTACCGAGATTTCACTCACTAATAACAGGTAATCAGGTTACATTCAGGATCTTGTCTTGCATTAAATCTAGACAACACATTAACAATCGCATTAGTTAACGAATTAGTTTATACCCAAGAGAGAATAGGGAGAAGAGAGTGCTAGGATTGACGAAAACTGCTGGGTAGGAGTGGGATTAACACTATGGAGGTTGCCCCAATATTACTCGTGTAACATACTGCTTCCTCCAAACAGCACATGTGGAGCTTAACGGCATAGGGGTGAAAAGAAGACCTTAAAATTCCCAAATATCTTGCCCATTTAAGATGAGATAAATTTAAAAATATACCTCTGCTTTAGCTGCTTAAGTGTCAGCGATGCTAAAGTACAGCTTCAAATTGGAGGAGGGCTTTCCTCCCCTCCGTAAGGCGGTACTGCGCAAACTGGTTCCCTATCTGAAAATTAATGTACTCTACTAATCGGCGATCCTGCAGCTACAGAGACAATAGAGTGCCTAAAAACAACAACTTTCCGAAATTCTAATGGGGACCTGATGGTTTAACCAAACTATCATGACGAATTTCCTAATATTAACCCGGATGTATGGCCCTTCACTTTGGAGACTAAGCGCTAGGCTGGAATGAGAAAATGGGATAAAACTAAATGTGTGGTTTCTAAAGAAATCAATTAACTTCGCAGTAAATGGTCTTTCTTGATTCGCATTAACGTGCAAGACCGCACAATGGACCTTGCTATGGTTAGGAAGGAGGAATAAACCTCTTTCGTCGGCAATTAGTGGCAATCTCAAGTGCTTACAGTAAGAAAATTGCACAGGCATACGCACGCAAGCATGCTTCCCGTCAGTGTTCTGGTCGGTATTAATGTTTAGCAAGACAAGAGGAGGGCGAGATGGAATGTCTTTGATGGCGAATATAAAGCAAGACAATTCAGCTAGACTAGACGTATGACAAAACACCACCATATGGTTTCCGCGGTCGTATCTCTCGATGCCGACTGTTTGTCTGCCCAAATTGCCTCCCAACTTCCCTTTCCTCCCTATCTTTAAAGCCTAAAGGCAGTGATGTTTTAACTCCAAAACTATTCAATTCTTCGACTCATTGATGGTGTGGTTCTGCAAACGGCGATATGAACAAGACTTACATAAGTTAAGTGAGTTTTTGAACAAAACATTAACTTACCAAGGTGAGACATTCCCATGTTCTTCAGAAACTCGGCTCGTTTACCTAAGATCGAAAAAAAAGTTAACTATTTTCCCTTAAACATATTGGGGCTTCAACCGAGAACATTGCCTTTCGGAAGGCCCTATACATTCCGATTAGTTACTTTTAGGAGGGCAAAGTACTACAAGTTGAGGGAGATCTTTTACCACGGTATTTTAGTACAGAAACAAATGAGCTCCTGTCTCCGCCACGATCACTGACGATCTCCGAGCCTTTCTAGCAGGGGAGATGACAAGTAAAATAGTCATACATTACTTAAACCGAAACAACGTGTTTCTGTCACTACCGCATTCCAACGGTAGCAATGACGACTTTGAAGTACTAGGCAAGTGAATAGGAGCAAGTCACTCATCACCCGTCAGCTGTTGTGCCTACGCGGCCGTTGAAGGCATAAGTTGGTTCGAGAATGCTTTATTACACCGATGACCCACCCACCCTGAGTGTGAGGCTTAAGCATTTTCCTCGCGCATGCTGCCTCACCCCCCAATTCCCTCTTCTCGGACCTCTCGTATAACTGAGGCCGTTGTTTACGCGAATGGACAAGCACATGATACACGGAGAACATATGCCCTGACTCATTATCACGAGGCGTCTCGGGAGTACGTTTTTTAACGAAATTTTACACGATTCTTAAGGCCTATGACTATGAATTTTCCTCAGCTTCCACCTTCCTTTTTCAGGTTTTCTAACAGAAGAAAGCATAAGTCCAAGTACACATCTTAATTTTTCTCAAGAGTCAAACATGCCAGTTCGCTTTGTTTGAGGGGGTCTAAGTACATACGTCTACTTGACCAGCCTTCTAACTATACTTTCAAAAATTCCTAAATTTTTGCATCCCATTTTAATTCAACCTTAGTGGCATGAAATATCAGGGCTGAGGGACTGGCGTTTCCGTGCTTCAAACAGTTTTAAATTCAAACCGATAGCATCTTTAATGCTTGAGTCACCGTCTGTAATGACTGCCTGCTCTCTAAGTTATCCCTTCCCACTGCGCCTCTTTAAAAATAGGTCCTCCCATTATTATTGGTGATGATGTAGGGTGTAGACGACATGTAATTTCTAAGTCCAGATGATTAAGTTTTTTGGCCTCAATGCAGTTTATGGAACCTTCGTTCCCCGGTGTCTCAATCAATCCAAGTGTATTGACACCAGCAGTGTCCAGAAAGATGGACTTGCCGCGTGAACTTGTTGTTACCATCCTGAGTCACACATTTAACTGCAGAACGAACTATTTGATAACCCCGTAAGTGGCCTAAATACCAACTGCTTTAACTTTTATTACCCAAACTAAAGCATCAAACAGAAGAGACCCACTTACCTTCAACACGATACATCTCGCGTATGTAGAGGTATTCGGGGTACTTTTTGCCAAAGACTTTGCGCAGTGTCTCCGCAGGCATCATTTCTGGCCACTTAGTCGACTTCTCCTCAATCGCTATCTTCTCATTAACTGTCGTATTTTTTGAACTAGACGTCTGACTGTTGGAAGCATTTTTTGGCTACAATGAAATGCTGATAATTGCTCAGCGATTTGACGATGCTCACGACCTAAGCTAATTAGAACCCCGATAAGCTTTTGCGGCTGGGCAGCATCGAAGTGACGACAAAGTAACAAGAGGAGCTAGTGGTGAAACCTTTAATAATAAACTCAGTTTTTTTAAGACTAGTAATGGGCCGACGAGACGATCGGTACATTTAGTCCGCTCACGATATGACTTTTTGCAAAATTTAACTTAAGGCCTATTTATATTTCCAACAGGGGGCCAGTGACAATGCAGCCTACCATCATCTCAGGTGGATTCCAATCCGAAGACTAGCACAGCAGCCTAATAAGCCGAGGCGCACTAAATCAAACCTTTTTTAACTGTCAAATAACTAGGTCTGGAAAATTTTAAACCAATTTTGCGGATCTTTATGAATGTCATCAATGAGTATGTGTAATTCGTGCTATAATCCAACAACACCTGGAGGATTGTGGTCTTAGGATTCATACTAATAGACCAGGCTTCAAGGCCCTTACTGACCAGTGGGATGAGCGTTTAGGTATTAACAAACCAACTTACTGGGAAGGCGTAGCTATAGTAGTCAGTAAGGTCCATCTCTGGCCAGAGTTTTGGATCAATATCTCCTAAAACAGAGGCTATTACTCTAAATGGTCTTACTTCCACAATTGTTTTTAATTGCTTGCTCACATTTGTGAATACCGGATGCGAAAGCCTCAATGGAGGATCTAACCCTCCTACCGTTGATAAAATACTTGAGAGCCATTTCAAAGTCACCTTTACGGTAGTATCCTTCTGCAATTAGAAGAATCGCCTGAGGAGAGATGTGCAAATACAACGTTTACCCAAATTGTATTATTTCCAGGAAGTTTGCTGACTGCAACTCACGTGCGGATTGCGTCTGGTAATCGCATGTGCAGCCTTAGCCAGCTCAATGCTCTCGTCGCTGTTTGTGGTGTAAAGGTGGCATGCAGAGCGCATTAATAAACAGCCCACGTTTTTGGGTTCAATTCCTTGAGCCTGTAATGCAAAGAAGCTGTTAAGGATTCGTTGTTTTGTGCCGGCACTCTTTTTAATGATTCTTGTAAAAAATGATTCAATGTTGGAGTTGCCAGGAGTCAACCGACTAGCACATGGTTGACTAATATGGATGGTTAACTGCTAGTATAATGCTTTTTTAGCTATGCTTATCCATCGTCTTTACAATATTGTGGGAGAATGTGTCCTACTTTCCTTTAGGCCCTTAATAGTTGCCTTTTGGATGCTGTCCCAGAGTCTGAAAGGCGTCTGTCTCAATTAAGCTACCAGTTAGGCCTTCAACTTGTCCAGGTAAATGTCATTTTAACTGTCCATGGTTCTGGTAGTTTTACTTTCAATTCTGGATGCAATGTCCGATGTGACGGAATGATTCATCTGTCGTGTGTTAGAAAGTTTAAAAGGCATTTTAATGACCACTTTTGATAGAAGTTGCTTATCCTCTCTCAGCCCCTCAACCATGTACTTAAACCAATATCCTTGAAGAGCCTAATGATGTTCCTACGATTTGCTACCCACATTAATCCGCACGGGGTGGGCGAGAGAAAGACACACTGAAATCTGTTAGCTTCACAGTCGAATGTTGCGCGTAATCACGACATCATATTGCCGCCTTCGCAGCTTGTTTTCTTATGTGAGGGAGTAGGTATAGGAGGGGTTGGGAGAAGCAGGGTGTGGGAAGGATAGAGACTGCTCCTCCTCAACCTCCTCCACACTCTTGACGAGACGACTGGTAAATGCACCCATCTGAATAAGTCAAGATGCGGAGTCGTGAATCAGAGAGGGGCAGAGGACAGCAGGAGAGAGAGAAATAGAGCATCACGCCATATGACAGATATTGGTACACATGAGGCCGACTTAACACAACACGCCATCCTTTCGCGTGCTGTCGTGATTGCAACGCATTGAAAAGAGTTGTGTGGTCTTTAGAGGTTTAGCAGTGATGTAAACTGTCATGAGCATTTCTGCCCCAATTTAGCCTACAAGATATCTCATAGATACTTATTGACGAAATGAAAGCAGGCGTACGATAATCTGTTTGGATTTTAATGATGCATGCTGCAGTGTTTTACTTAGATGCGCTTTTTGTACTTAAGAAGGGTGAAAGTAAAAGAGGCGCAATAATTCGGTTCACTAGCGCACTCGTTTCAAAGGCCGCAAAAAATCCATGACGAAGGATGTTTAACTGGATCCGGGATGGTAAACAGCATAGTTGTGAATAATTTACTTATCCAGCGTCAAATTTCAGACATGAAAATGCTTATCCTTAATGTCTCCCCCAATTCACCAGCAGAAATATTAAAAGGCAAAAAAGCGCCTTTTTGCACGTTGTATAATCAATCTTTCAACCAGTGAAGCAAAACTGTGCGTGGAAAAGACACTTAACATTTGGACTTTGTTCCGCCCACAAATATGGCGGAAAATACGAAGTTAATTCCATGAACAACAAACAATAGTGAAGTAGTTTTGAGCATGCGCTAGCTAATGGGAGTGCCACAATCTATTTCTGTGAAATAAACTGCAAAATTAATGGCAAATTATAAAATCCAAAAGAATGGTGTGACAGAGGGTTCGACATTAGTACTCTTCACCTTGTGGAGCCAGTAGCACTATCCATTTTTTTACACTTGCTAGTACTAAAAACTGAAACCAAGATTCTATCAAAAGGAACCAGTTTGCTTAGAAGCTTGCCAGCAGAAGACATCACATAAACAGACTTGAGGACCTGAATGTAAGCGATGTTAAGAGAAGAAAGACTCTTATTCGCTTCTACTTAGCAAACAAAAGTAGAGAACGTTTTAACGAACCCTATTTAGGTAGACCAAGGCGCGTTTATAGTCCTTTCTAAAAAGTAGATGTCTTCCAATATTAAGGTAGGCTTCAAAGGGATTGAAAACTACCTCCTCTTCGGAATTTGACATGGCGTGTGATGTTCCTATGTTGGTGGCTAAAAGTGAGAAACACCTGATTTCGTCAATAAAATCACGAGACTGATTTGAGAAGTAGAGCCGATGTGACTCTAAAGACCTTTTCGACTGTCAATTCTGGATGCAGCTGTTTGTGTGGCCATATTGCATTGGGCAGATGAATCAATTTCCAGATAGCGTCGGTCACATCTAATCTCAAACTTAAATCATTGAAAATTTTTGAGGAGAAAAATGACTCGAATTACCATGAGGCACAATCGCTGGATCTAAGTGCTTAGCATAACGCTTTGATGCTGTGGTTACCTGTACCTGGCGACTACTTTGGCATTCGTCTTGCTCTTGAGTGCCAAAACCAATTCTCATTTCCTTCCTCTAGAATGCATGCGTTCAGCCAAGCGTGGTGCCTTTTACCCAGTGGAACGTCATGGGAAACTACGCCTACAGAGACGCGTAAAATTCAGATTTACAAATGCTGTTTAAGTTTGGAACAGATTCTTTGTTCGATTAGCATCACTGGCAGCTAGCGCGTAGTCGTAGTGACTTACGTCAGTGGTCGTCTTGCCTCTGCGGGGTGAGCTGGACTTCTGGCCATGACAGGCCCAAACTGTTTCCATTTCTTCATGGATGCAAGCGTTGTTCGACAAGTCTCATGTCTTTTATTGCATATGAGCAATCGTAAGATGCTATACCAAAAACAGGTTGAAAAGAGGAGGAGAGGAGAAGCCATTGAAAGTCAAATCGCAGGCTGAGAATGCATACTTCAAATTGCCTGCATAATGAGGCACACAACACACAATTCAACACGTAAGTCTATGGTAATCTTTAAAGTTGTAGCGTCTCGAGACTTCCCATAGGGTGGATGCATGTATTCCAAAGAGGACAAGGTAAGTTGGCCTGAGCATGGCCCTAGGGCCAGCCCTCGAGTACAAGGGTCAGACCAATCTTAAAGTGATCGTCAAACGTCAGGTATTCACACAACCACAGCATTGCAAAAGTCTTGCGCTTACTCAGAGGAAGAAGATAGAATCGACTAACATCAAGTCAGTTAGTAAACGAATCGATGGTTACATGTCTGAATCTTACGGTTGCATGGGCTGTCAATTAGCACCTATCGGTGATCAATATTAATTATTACTGCGGACATTTCATCCCTGTTAAATACATGTTGTTTTTAACAACAAAACCATTACAGATTGCATTTGTTTAAATAATCCATTAGTGATTGCGCTCATCAAAGTACTGAGGACGTTCAGTTGCGTCCCGAGTTTTTCCGTTTATTTTCCTCTTGTTGTGCAAAATGGCTGAGGTATTCTCCCTTTTTGTAATAATCTCAGCCTGTTCAACGCCATTCAGTCCATACCTTGGTTTTTCGGTCTCTCAAACGCACGCATGACATGTTTGAGGCAGATCAGGTTCGACTACCGGAGATTGACGAAGAAAGGTGTGCTTCCCATCTCTAATTTCCTCTTTTAAGCTACAAAATAAAAATTGCTGTGAAGCGTCGGGATCAGTATGGCTCTACTTTAAAGAAGTCTCTGGGGCCCACTCTTCACCAAAAGCCGCTACAAAATAGTCAGTTCTCCTTCTCGTGTGTACTTTGTTAGGTCTCTCTGCTGCAGTCACATCCAATGAAATTGTCCCCATCGAAGAGTTGGATGAAGCAAGGTGGGCGAATCCTCAAAATCATTGCTTGTTTCTAGTGATCTTCAGTCGCAGGCTGACACACAACTGGTCCAGGTTGGCACTGACAAATTACTGCTGCCTAAGAAAGCACCAACCATTCCTAAACCTATCTGGCATCCTCCGTGGAAACTTTCGCGTGTCATCAGTGGACATTCTGGTTGGGTTCGTTGCATTTCTTTTGATTCAACGAACGAATTCTTCGCCACTGGAGCAGCAGATCGGATGATTAAGGTTTTCCGATATTAGAGAAAAACAACTGTTCTATAGATTTGGGATTTCGCTAGCGGTTACCTTAAACTCACTCTCACGGGTCATATCAGTGCAGTTCGTGGGGTTGTTATCAGTCCCCGTCAACCCTATCTCTTTTCATGCGGTGAAGACAAGACGGTCAAATGTTGGGACCTTGAGCAGAACAAGGTAATTCGACACTATCATGGCCACATGTCAGCTGTCTACGATATCGACCTACATCCCACACTCGATGTCCTGGTCACTTGTGGTAGAGATGCCACTGCCCGGGTTTGGGACATGCGGACCAAAGTAGGTTTGTTCACCTGATTTTCCATCCTTATTTCGAGGTGTTTGTAATGTTTGCATAATCTGGGCTCTCAAAGGTCAACATCCACACTCTGAGCGGTCATTCAAATACAGTTTCCTCAGTGCGTTGCCAGGAGTCCGATCCACAGGTTATCACTGCTTCGCATGATGCCACCGTTCGTCTATGGGACTTGGCTGCTGGCAAGACTATGGTTTGTCTTACGAACCATAAGAAAAGTGTTCGCTCTCTTGCTATTCATCCAACTCAGTACGTTGACGTCTTGTTTTCCTCTGACTTTGGTGTGATGCGTGCATTGCCTTGTGCACTGTAAATAAAATTTAGATTTGAATGTTAAGTGCAGCATGCTCTACATACTGAAGTGCCAATAAGATCTGTAGGCATGTATGCACTCGTCTTTCGAAAAGAATAGCACCAATATCATCGTTATATCATTGCCGTTGGACCCCCCTTTATTGTATCTGACGTGTTCTATTTGCTTTGTTCATGGATTCACTAGCATATTGCCAATTCTTGATTTGACAGTAGGAGGCTCAAATGAATGGGTTGATAAACTACCTTAATCTCTTACTCAAAGGCACTTCCCAATTTTGACTTAATGTGATGTTACTATGACATCTCATTTTACGTGGAAGCAACGCTTTTTTACAGAAACGCGTTTGTATCCGCTTCACCGGACAATATTAAGCAATGGAAGCTGCCGAACGGGACGTTCCTCCAGAATCTGTCGGGTCACAAGGCTCTCGTAAATGCACTAGCCATCAACATGGACGGTGTAGTTGTCAGCGGAGGTAGCGATATCGTAAATTGTGTCGTATCAATGTCAAAACGTGCCCCTCATGGCACTACTTCAAGACAGCCCTCTCATCTACTAACATTGCATCAATTGCAGGGAATCATTAACACCGTTGCATCTGACCCATTTTCCTGTTTTTATGGGCATTCAAAATTTCTTCAAAATAAGTGTCATTGAATGTCATTGGTACTCGAAATAACTGCCTCCCTACGGGAAATTAATTGAATTTACGCTAGCTTTGCTTATAATGGGTTTCAGGCGACAATGGCAGCATGTATTTCTGGGACTGGCGCTCGGGATACAACTTCCAGAAGCTGAATTCCGTTGCCCAGCCAGGTAGCATAAATTCTGAGGCGGGCATTTTCGCATTGGCTTTCGATCGTAGTGGCTCTCGTCTGGTCACCGCCGAAGCTGACAAGACCATTAAAGTATACAAGGAAGATGAGACCGCTGTAAATGCTCGTCTTCTGCTCCTTTATCAAAAACCTGTAGAGTTTCATCAAAATCTTGGTTTTTTTTTCAGAATGAAGAAACGCATCCAACCAATTGGCGCCCAGGGATTTTACGGAAGGCCAAGTATTAGGCATTGCATTTTATCGCATACCTTTTGTGTTAAATACAAATGACAACAAATGACCTAGAGAGATCTTTATTTTCAGTCTGGAATGATGTGTTTGTGCACCCTTGAGGTAAAGACGCCAGTAATTAATAAGATGACAGCAATATCTGAGAAGTAGCGCATTCTCGCCCTAAATTGGGGGCGAACACACAAATTTGACCTTATCTAGTAGGCGGGTCGAGAAAAGTACACGGGAGAGCATACATACGATCGGACCCAAGATGTGTATTAACTAGTTTGCGAGTGAGAGGAATGTTTGTACATCCAAAGAAAGAAAAAGAGACAGCATCTATTGAATCTGGCCAATTTGAGTGTTAATACTGGTGCTCGTAGGGTCGCTGATTTGCCGACACGGTCTAATTGCCTTGAGAAGAGCAAGCGAAGCAGATTTACAAAAAATACAAACTAAGGGAATAGTAGACTATAGCTTCAGAGCCAGTCATGGTACGGATGATAAATGGACCAATGGTTGTCTCTCAAAGAGTTTCGACTGGTAACTTCTAAACTAGATGACAGAATCGCCACAATCGAGCCACAATAAAGACCTAGGCATTGTGGACATCTGTTTACATAAACGAGGAATAGAAGGACGCCGGCGTGTCACGGATAGGCTGTTTTGCGGAATCCAAGATGATTTGCTTCCCTCAACGCCTTTCTTCTCGATAATGGGAAATTGGATCGGAGAAGCATTTAAGTACATTCATTTTACAGATTGATGCCCAACTCTCGCTTTGTATCTAACTGGAGTATTGAAATGCGTTTGACAAAAGACACCATCAATGCTGCGTAAGATAATGATATAATGATCCAAAGTATATGTGACCTACATACCGCATAGTAAATACGAAGACACCAGTTTACCGCAGGTGATTTAATCAACCAATGCTAGTCCCTAACAAGGTCCCTGTATTTGGTCTAGTAAAACAATGAACCAGGCAAGCAATTAAAAGCAAAAGTTACTTTACGACTTGAAAGTCAGAATTCAGTCAATATCAGTCAGTGTAAGCATAAAACTTTTTCCTTTATAAGCTTATTTTAAAAATTAGAAGGCTTTAAAGCGCAATTTCTTGCATATGGGGTTCTCATTTAAACTTGTAGCTGCTGCTGCCATATATATATATATATACATATATATGCAAGGTATGAGTGAGGTTGAATTTATGTATTCCGGAGACGACAGGGCAAATGGGGCCTGAGCGTGTTCCGAAGGCCACTGTCCCGTATGCGAGGAGAACTGTGGTGTCATTTCCGACACCTAAACACGAATTTTGCGTGGGAAATTCCGACACGAAACTTATCCAGACAGCTCATGGTGATGTCACTTCAGTTGTTAATAGTTTGTCTGTGGAACACGGGAATAAGGGGAAACCAAATACAGACGTGCGCCTAAATCATTGCGTTGTGAAGGGTTCAGG